CGGGGGATGCGGATCGCTACGGATGACATCATTTAGGGGGTGACACCAAGGCAAAAAATAGCAAAATATATAGAGAAAAACTTGAGGGGGGCGTGCAAATCGAAAGTTTGAGGGGGGGGGTGCAAATCAAAAACTTTAGGGGGGGGGGTTGCAAATCGAAAGTTTGAGGGGGGTGGATCGCAAATCGAAAGTTTGAAATTTTGTCCCCGGGGGGGGGGGGGAGGGGGGTGGCACCATTAAGTGCCGCACCGGGTGACACCCGACCTCGCTACGCCACTGTTTGTTGTGTTGATGTTCGATATTGTGTTTAGTTAAAGTCAGTCTGTGTTTAGAGGATATGTGTCAGAGAGAGTGTGTGTGTGTTTGTTTGTGATTGTGTGTGAGATATTGAGAGATATAGAGAGAAAGAGAGAGAAAGAGAGATGGAGTAGGAGAAAGAGAGAAACCCAACAATTCAGACAAGTGTAAATTGTAATAATCAGATTGAATTCTTCATTGAGAGGTTTCAATCAATTTTAACGTTATTTTTATTACTATTATTATTATTACGATGATTAGTGATCACTACTAGTGGACGCCAAATGAAAATAAAATTAACGATTGCAATTTCGTTAAATGCTATGCCTATAACTGTTAAACATAACAGTATGTATATTACTTTATCTTAACATTAGCTATCTAGGCCTCGCTGTGAAATCGATCAAGTTTTTTACATCAATGAAGTATATCTGCTACAGAAATATACAGTTAATAATATATAACTTGAATTTAGACATTTCTGTCAGTAACTTTAATGAAACATATAGAATTCCTTTTTCTTATCGTAAATGATGTGTATTGATGTTTACTTTCTGTTGTCAAGTTGTTGGCATTGTTCTTTAAACCAGCAAGCGTTTGACTTCTGCAGAATTTGAAAGCACACAAAATCAACGCAGTGGAACATAGGTCTAATGTGGGTATAGGTCATGCAGTGGCGCCAATAGGTCTGGTGACACTCAGTGCAGTAACCCAGGACATCACACTCTCTGCCAACGACTACACACACACACACACATATATATATATATATATATATATATATATATATATATATATATATATATATATATATATATATATATATATATATATATATATATATAAAATCTTAAGAAAAATGGAAGTATGTGTCACCCCCATCACTGATGGTGTCATTTGTGCCAAATTATTGGTACAACCTTTGTGATATTTTAAACAAAAGTGTGAACAGCAAACTTTCTCAATACAACATTTTTTTTTTAATTTTTGGTTTACGCCACACTTTAGAGATGAATATTGGTAAAATAAAAGTTGGTAACTTTTGAAATATTAAAGTAAACAACAACTAGAAAGGGGACAAAACTGTTGAAATATTTGCCAGTTTATCAAGATGGATTGCGTGCAGTATGGGTTAATAGCATTGTTCGTTTTTTCTTTTTTCTTTCCAGCGTACGTGTCGCATGTCCTACACACTACAGTGACTACATCTTTTATAAATGTTTAATCAAAGAGTATCGTGTAAACTGAGTTACTTGAGTGCTACCAATGCTTTATATGATTTGACAAGTTGTTAAAGTTGGATCCTAAGCGGGGGATTCGCATCCCATGAACTCGGACCACTCGACCACCCTGGGAAACCGAGGAAACGAACCTCGGCCGCCGCCGTGGCGAGATCGTGAATCACGCAAGTGTCAGTCTCGGAATCGAACCCTGGCCGCCGCCGTGAGAGCACGGGATCCTACCCACTAGACCACTCAGGTGATCAGGTGACCGTACAACTCTCTCAAGGTCGATTACATAACTTAAGGGGGCAGTATCACCCAGACTAAGGGAGGGAAACAAAAACTATCACCAAAAAAAACTATTTGACATACACATGTCAAATTTTTACAGCAATAGTAACGTTTCTTCTGCTATAATACAGTATATAAATTGTAGGGTATATGTATGGCAATAAATTGTCAAAAAATTATTTTGTTAATATTTTATCACATTTTTAATTTTTTGTAAACATTTTTTCGAAACCATAAGTAAAGTACTTAAAATTTGGTATAAGCCTTCCTTGCGTTGTTGGCTACGTCCGGGACTACGATAATAGTATTGAGAGATAAATTTTTTAGGAAATTTCAAAGTTCAATTATTTTGGTCTGACTTTGAAAAATTCTAAAATTTTCAAAATTTGTCACAATGGATATCTCATAGTCCCGGACATACGCTACCCTGTTATGCATCTCCCAGAGTATTTTCAGAAGGAAGGGCCTAAATGTTGGAAAACCGCAGCCAAAAATTACTTAGTAAACATTTTTTGGTAAAATTATTTATAAAAAATGTTTGCATCATACGTTAACTTTCTTTTATGTGCTGTTTTATAGCTCCTTGCTATTTACTATTATGGTAAAAGATTTATGTGTGTATGTATAATAGTTTTTTTTTGGCAAATTTTTTCGTCAATTTTCAAATTTCTGGGTGATACTGCCCCCTTAAGAAACTAAATTATATAAAGAAAGAAAAGACTTATGTAGGTCACACTAAGTAGTCTCCTGCATTCCAAATCGTTAGACATTCCATTTCTTTCTAGCGCGAACCTCAAATGAATAATAAATGAATAAACTATTAAATCCTAAGTAAAAAAATATATAAATGATTTACAGACATTCGCGCGTTTTGAGATTTACCTCGGTCCACTTTCTGAATGGGAACATAAGAACTAACAAACTGACAATGACTGCTTAGATTCTGTATCCACGTCTCCCGAGTGACTTGTTAATAGGCTATCATCTTGTTTAGGAACTCACATATGAAGTGGTGCGGTTTTTGTTTTTAAATTATTTAGCATGCTCTCAATAATGATAAAGGTTAAATCTTGTTTTAATTCAATTATACCCTAATTTAGCCTATTCCAATGTTACTTATAGAAACAAAAAACAGCTTATCATTTAAGCTATAGGAGAAAGTTAACAATACATTAAAACTCGACTTTTTACTGTGTTTTTATAGGCCTAGGGGATAGATACTAGAATATAGAATAATAATAAGCTAATAATGCATTAAGACGCATTAAACATTGAAAATGATAACAAATAACATACAGGACAGCCATCTTTATTTTCAAAACGAAGCAGGCTTGTGTAGAATTTGCCCAGACCCCTGATGTAAGTTGTGATCGGCTTCTTACACACTGCAGGCTACCTACACACTGCAGGCTACTTACACACTGCAGGCCACCTACACACTGCAGGCTACTTACACACTGCAGGCCACCTACACACTGCAGGCCACCTACACACTGCAGGCTACCTACACACTGCAGGCTACTTACACACTGCAGGCCACCTACACACTGCAGGCTACCTACACACTGCAGGCTACCTACACACTGCAGGCTACCTACACACTGCAGGCTACCTACACGCTGCAGGCTACCTACACAATGCAGGCTACCTACACACTCCAGGCTACCTACACACTGCAGGCTACCTACACACTGCAGGCTACCTACACACTGCAGGCTACCTACACGCTGCAGGCTACCTACACACTGCAGGCTACCTACACACTGCAGGCTACCTACACACTGCAGGCTACTTACACACTGCAGGCTACCTACACACTGCAGGCTACCGACACACTGCAGGCTACCTACACACTGCCAGGCTACCTACACACTGCAGGCTACCTACACACTGCAGGCTACCTACACACTGCAGGCTACCTACACACTGCCAGGCTACCTACACACTGCAGGCTACTTACACACTGCAGGCTACCTACACACTGCAGGCTACCTATACACTGCAGGCTACCTACACACTGCAGGCTACCTACACACTGTCCTTATGTAAAAATACTAGTTCTATTATCTATCTAATTGGAAATATACCGTGAGTTTCCCGTGGTATATTTGAATAAAAAAATCAATAATCAAATTAAATTGAGTTTTCAAACCAAATCAGAAATATTTGTCGTTGCTATCAATTTAACATAGGGTAAGTGAGCAGTTATATAGTTATACACCAGGGGTCTCCAAACTACGGCCCGCGGGCCGGATGCGGCTAGCGATGTCTTCTCATCCGGCCCGTGGAGATCTTTTTGTCCACGGAAAAAACAGTTTGTTGGTGATGGCTGAGGAACTTTGTCCAGAAAAATCAAAGGTATGCCTGGAAGAAACTGGCCCCCGAACTGAAATTTGATAGTTAATGCGGCCCTCGGACTGAAAAGTTTGGAGACACCTGTTATACACAAGTACATTATTATGTAGAAAGAACACATCTAGTATCAAATAGAAATCAGAATTTCAGGTGTTTGCCTAGAACTTTGATGCATATCGATAACTAAGTTTTTCAGACCTACTAGATAATGAAACTAATGTTCCGTCACCTCGCGATTGTGCTTGTTCTTGCAGTATCTACAGAATCAGGTAAATAAAAGCTTTCTGGTTGTATAAGTAACTTGATCTTACAGCCGTTGATGTTTTATGTATGAATATCATCTTTTCCCCCGTTTGTAGCCTTGAGACATTGGGAAGATGAAGTAGAGTTCATCTGTTTCAGTGACTTCAGCCTATGTTGGGATATTGTAGTCAGTGCCATGAACAGCTGCCTTAAATCCCCCTAACGTGAGTTAGGTACCCATCAGAGCTGGATGGACTCAGTGAAGCTCTACTGACTGAGCTCGGATCTATCTGAACTCGAGATTTTCGGGTTAGCAGTCTATCTAGTGCACTGACACAAGGCGACACAATCCCATTTTTTATGTATGTATGCACACATACACACACATATATAAATAAATATATAAATAAATAAATATATATATATATATATATATATATATATATATATATATATATATATATATATATATATATATATATATATATATATATATATATATATATATATATATATATATATATATATATATATATATATAAGTATAATGTATGGTATAATTTTATCTATTTATTTAATTTGCAAAGCTCAGCAAAAAAATGTCGAAATTCCGATTCGTAAGTAAAATCCGGATCTTTATCTCTATATCAGTATTATCTCTCTCTAATTAATGTATATATATATATATATATATATATATATATATATATATATATATATATATATATATATATATATATATATATTCATATATTTCTATATCTCAATGTTTCTATTATTTATGTGACAATCCATATTTATGAGTATACTGTTGAATCAACGAATTAGATATCGGGTGTATTTTTAGTAACACAGATGCACAATATATGAAATACAATGCTAAGGATTTTAATTTTAATACATGTATTAAGATATAGGCCTACAGGTCTAATTTATGAATAGAATTAACAGATTTTTTTTGTTTTTTTTTTTTAGATTTAACGTTTAAAAAATGTTTCATGCAACTAGCTGCCTCAAAAACACATCAGATATCAATTTATTACAAAAAATATTACATCATAAACGCACACTTCGATAGCACAACATGATAATAACCGTTCTCAGTATCGTATGCATTAATATCGAGTGCACATAAAGAAAGGTTTAAGTTTTTAATTTCTTATACTTATTCTTTCACAGAGAATGCAAAACCGTGGATGCCTAGTAAGTATAAAACGCCATCATAGATTGTGCTGCTGCAACGAAGCTTACCTACACTGTAGTTTTTGTTATAAACAACTTTACTGTTTATAAAAATAAACGATTAAGTTTCAGATCTTTTCTTCTTCTTCGTTCTTAATTATTAGTGTTGAAGGGAATAGAGATTTTCCTGCCAGTGGGTTTGAACTCGAGACTTTGTTCGAATTTATCAACCATGAGCTTTTTTGCCGACTCGATCACGCCTCCAACACAATTAAGCGTTACTTGTCAACTGGTTATGCGCCATTGAGGCCATTGACTCCGATTTCAGCCTGCTTTTCTTTTTGGATCTGCTTCCATAGCCTTTGTCCAACCAAGAACAATCTACAAGGCAGCAGTTTTTTAATTTTGGAGTTGTCTCTCCTAGATGAGTGTCTGTCCCCAGCTAACGAGCCTCATCTGCCCGAGGGTTCGAACTCGAGACTTTTCGGTTTAGCAACCATGAGCTTTACCGACTCGACCACGCTGAACCCGAAGTTTCAGATATAAAGATAGATATTGCAGCGGACGTGTGGTCAACACTATGTCCAGATGCTTTACTTTCTCCCTTGAGAGTCAAGTACCCATCCGAGCTGGATGTACTGTTAGGATGTCCAACTAAATCTAAGAGTACCAGAAGTCAAATTTATTTTTAGAATTTGTCACTCTAACCGAAAATACTGCAAATTCAGTTATTGTTTTATTGAAGTAATTATATAAAAGAACAGTATTTTTGGCTGTTTCTTAAAAAAACGGCACTCAAGTTATTCCATGTATAGTTTTTTTCCCCCGAGATTTCAAATCTCGATTTCGATTTCTGAATTATTGCAATTCTTCGCGTATACTCCATACACAAAAGATTAAAAAGTTTAAGGTAAATTCAATTTAACAGCATTATTTTACATTTTGTCTTTATGGGTTAAAAACTAATATCCTATTTTAATATATAATAGTTCGTGACTATAAAGACAAATGCATGAATCAGAGAATATTGTTACCGTATGGGAATCTGAACAAACTGCTGTGTTGGTAAGATTTTTGAACTATTCCCCTCATGTTAATCAATGTTCAAAAGTCATCTATCCAACCGTTCATCCGTCCATTATCCCGTCCGTCTGCTCATCCATCCATCCATTCATTCGTTTATCCATCCACTCATCCATCCATCAATCTAATTTAGCATTCCATGTGTCTATTTATCCATCCGTCCAACCACCTTACAAAAATTTCAACGGTCCAATCAAAACTAACGGGAACTAACACAGTTCACGAATTAACCGATATATATATATATATATATATATATATATATATATATATATATATATATATATATATATATATATACATATATATATATATATATATATATATATATATATATATATATATATATATATATATATATATATATATATATATATATATATTATATATATTTATATATATATATATATATATGTGTGTGTGTGTGTGTTTGTGTGTGCGTTTGTTTGTGTGTATGTATGATTGTGTTTTTATATGTGTGTGTAATTGAAATTTAATTGAACAGTAATATATTCAAAAGCCATATTTTAAGGGAGAGTCATGCCATCGTCGAATCGGTCGTTAAAGTGTTGAACCTCAACAGCTGTAGTGAAATGATCACATTAGCTGATAGACTCAGGCTAGATTTTGCAAAGGATGAGTTCAAGCGCTGTGGCTTTGGTAAGTTGTCTGTTGAGTATTTAATAATTCATTTAGTAAGTAATCTGTTTAGTGACAAATATATTTAGTAATAAATATATTTAGTAATACATATATTTAGTAAATTAATCTGTTTTTTAAAGAAAAATACATGAAGTATGTAACCTGTTTAGTAAGTTATGTATTTAGTAAGAAATATTTCTTGTAAGAACTATTTAAACTAAAATAAATAAATTAGATAATGCATTGATGAGTCATTCATATTTCTGTTTTGTTATACTTTCGATTTTTACGGTATTAGTTAAAGAAAAAGATGTACATCTTAATGATGTTTTTAATTAACACTAAAGGTTTTTGACGGAGAATGAAGTATGGGTTATGGAGACGAGTTACGATGGGGGTAGCAGGATGGGGAGGGTGAGGTTTGCGTGTCGTGGAAATACCAGGATCAGTGTTGATGGTGGGTGCGTGTGTGAGTGAAAGTGTATGAGAGGGTGTGGCATGAAGGGTGAAGTGGGGCTAAATGGGTGTGTAGGAGTGTCGGTGTTTGTGTACTGGAGTGTCGGATAAGTTTTCATGTCGGAGTTAATTAAGTGTTGATGGTTTAATGTTGCCGTATTGCAACAGACGGGTCGTTTTCCAACGGAAAGCCGGGTCGTCTTTTAGCACATAACATTTTTTTTTAAATTTTAAAGTGTTAAACTTTTTACTTTCTCGTATGCACGAAGTATAGAGAAAGTCTTGTAATCGTGCACAAAAAAATCGTTTTAGGGCTCACTGAGTCGGAAAAACATAGTTTTGCAATCTTGTCCGTATGTCTGTGTGTATGTGTGTGTGTGTCTGTGTGTGGGTAAACACGATAACTTGAGTACCGTTACGGCTAGGTTGATGAAATTTCATATATACGTATTATATAAAAATCGTAGATCCTTATCAAATTTTGAGCGATTTCCGATAACCGGAAGTGAAACTTTTTCTACTTTAATTTTTTAAAAGCCTATAACTTAAGTACTATTTTAGACAGATAAATGAAATTTCACATGTAAGTAAAAGTTCTAATCATCTACCTTCTGTTAAATTTTGAGTAATTTCCGTCTACCGGAAGTAGTAATTTACGCTATTTTCTGATTTCTCAAAAATGCATGTGAATTTATAAAGTACTAATTATATCCTGCACTAATCTGCACATTTTATTTAGCGTTCATTTGGTGTGCAATTCTTTTTTTTAAGAGATTCTATTATAAAAAGTTTAAATAATTAAAAATGGATTTAAAATATTGTGTATGTCCCGAGTTGCCATCCCCCGTAGTGTTATATTAGAATATTCGAGAAAGTTTAGGGGATATCACCCCCGGTTTATTTTTATTATCTATCATATGCTTGCGACAATATAATAGGCTAGTTAGAACAAATCGAATTCCAAAATATTTTCAGAAGTGGTCAAGGAGCCAAGTAGACGTTATTCGATACGGTTGGACTTCAAAAGAAAAGATATGCTGAAATGCTATCAAATGTATTCGACCACACCTCCAAAGCCTCAGAGTTTGCGTAAGTGTACACAATGTATTTCTTATGTTAGATACATCAGGGTGTTGTACAAGCTTACAGACCGCTGCTTTATTTTGAGGAATTGTTCTGATCCATTATGTATGTTATTTTAAACGAGCCGACCCGCGGCGTATCATACGCCTCTATTTAGTTGTTTTATTTTCTATTATTCAGTAATTTATAATCTGTGAATTCGGCAGTTCCAATGCTGTCACTGAAAATATTTGCTTTAAAACACTATCAGTAGGTCGTTAAGGACGATAACCCCCCCCCCCACCCTCCTTTCCCCCAAACCCTACCCTACACCCCCTCCCCCCGTGAATGCAGCCTTCTCTTATTTACCTCCCTTAAGTTTAAAATCGTTTCAAGCTAAATTATCTGCCCCTAATAGCCGTCACTAAACCCGGCTCTACGATTGTAAACATTTAGCATGAACCACAGCTCACCAGACCATGGTGGTAGGGATATCCCTAGAGAGGAAGAGAGGGGGCTGCTAGGCGCGCTTACAGTTTGTTGTTTTCTATGGTCTCCATGAAGATAATTATATATATATAGATGTTTTAATCACTTTGGCAATGTTCGGTTAAGTATGTTTACTTAACAGTTTTTTTTTTCAATAAGCAAATATTATTTCTAATGTAAACATTATATAGTTAAAATTAAACGTATTATGGAGTGTATACAAACATGTATTAAGCTGATCTTCTTTCTAGTTCTTGATTATAATGTTGAGTAAGCTCCAACAAAATTAAATATTACTTTTATAACTAGTATGCACCAAGCAGGCCACTATCTCCTATTTCAGCCACCTTCTATTTTAGAGCTCTCTCTTATATGGGTTGCTGTCTCTAGCTATATATCATCACCTGACCGGAGGTATTCGAACTCGGCACTTTCCGCTTTAGCAACCATTAGCTTTACCGACGTGACCACGAACACACTTAAGAATTATGTATGTTATTCTCAGTGCTTGACTAATGAAATATTTCGTTCTCTCTCTTAGCCAATGAGGTTTGTGCGCAAACCTATTACTGCCACGATCTGAAGGACTACCCAGAGCTCTCGTGCCGGTAATGTGTTACAGTGATTGTGGTAGAAGGGAGGTAGGCTCCAGAAAAAAAACAACTTCTTAATTAAAACCTTTTGTTGATTCATTTGTGTATATCTAAGTTAGGGTACTGTAAAGAAAATATTCCTTGCATCAGGGACTCTTTTGAAAATATGGTTGCCATTGCAACCGCGGCCATCTTGAAAAAAACATCCTTTTTTTGGAGTTCTTAAATTTCAAAAACTAATATATATTACGGCTATATAACCATTGATCCTTCTTGTACTAACACCAATAGAGTTAACTGGCTAGTTTTGTAAAAGAAATCACTCTAAAAATTTTTTTAATTTTCAAAATTTGATGTTCCGAAATTCCATTGAAATTAATGTTAAATGGAATTTCACCATAAAAATGTTTTTGAAAATTTGAAAAAAAAATTTTCTAGCTGTTTTTCGGTTACGAAAACTAGCCAGCTGACTCTATTGGTGTTATTACAAGAAGGATCAATGATTATATGGGCGGTTTATATGTTACTTTAGGAAATTTTAGAACTCCACAAAAGGTAGTATTTTCCAAGATGGCCGCCGTTCCATGGCAAACATATTTTCAAAATAGTCCCTGGTACATGCAAATATTTTCCCTTAAGTACCCTCACTTATACATACAGAAATAAATGAAAAAGGCTTATTAATTAAAAAGTTTTTTTCCCCGTTTTTTTTAGAGCCTACCCCCTAAAATGTGTAGCTTTGATTCTAACAAAATAAACATCACCTAATAACAAAATTTAGAACTCACACAATAAAAAAAAACCACATCCGAAATTGAAAGGAAACCAAATCAAATGAAATTGAACATAAACAAAAAACAACAAATCAGCCATCAAAAATACAGTCCGCGATATAATCTATTGAAAACGGACTATAAACCTCAAACAACAACAAACACTTTCTCATTGATGTACGGATGCCACACCCTCCACTTCCCCCCTCCCCCTCGAGCACGTCCTACATGTATAATCTATTTAAAACTTATATACTTTAACCTATGTCAGATCCCCCACCGCAACATAAAGTTGAAGTGCCCCACCCCACCGCCAGCCCACCCCTGAACACTTCACCCATCCTCTCCATGAGAAAATACACAATTTATAATTTATATAAAGAAATTTATATTTTAACCTATTTCCGACACCCCATTTTCCCCGGAAATTTAAATGACACAATGACACCCTCTCACCTCGCCACCCACCCCACACCCCCACTATACTCTGGGAACACTGTCTGAAAGAAATCTTGTAAGCCTTTAATTTAAATCCGAAACATGTGTCCCAACAGTGCAGGGATAACCTACACCGATTGTGCGGTCAAGGTGATACAGGACGACGAATGCCGTTTTTACTTTGGACGGGCGGCCCTGATGTACTGGAAAGTCTATCAGATCTCTGGCCTCTTCGACTCGTGCAAATTTGGTAAAAAAATTGTTTTAAAAACAAAATGATACCCTTTGAAACCACAGTGGCAATATTGTATTAAACATCGTGATTTCCGGGCGTATCGGACGACTTTTTAACGTAACTTATCAAAATTTATGGTTCGTTTTAGATAGCACATGTGGTCAATATAGAGTTAATTTAACAGGGATAGTTGGGTGTACTTATGTGGTGTAGGTCAATATATATATATATATATATATATATATATATATATATATATATATATATATATATATATATATATATATATATATATATATATATATATATACAGGCTTGTATTTAAATTACTACTCCAGGATATGACGTAAAACGGAAGGGAGTATTTTTCTATATCAAGAATGCCATCCACCCCTTATGTTACAGTTTAAGTGGAAACATTACTACAGTCTGTAATGAAAATTTCCTCTATATACGTTATAGCATGTTTATGAAGTATCAATTACCTTTTAAGAAAAAATACAATGTAGACAAATATATACACCAATTTTCAGAAACCTTCACACACACACACACACACACACGCACACACATTACATGTATATATATATATATATATATATATATATATATATATATATATATATATATATATATATATATATATAATACATTGATGGCTAGATTAATAAATAGGTATGTAAAAAGACTACAACTTAAACAATTTTGTTTAAAGAGCATTTATTTTATTTATCATTTTTCAGAGCTATCCTCTAAATATACCAAGGCCAAGAGGCATTTACTGATCTTTCTGGAAAGGAGCTTTTGTTCGTTTTAATTTAGCGCAGATGCATGATTGATTTTTTAATCTTCTAGCTGCTTGTATAGCTAAAACAATTTTCCATATATATTTAAAGTTTTGCATCTCATTTTAGAATTTTACGTTCAAATATAAACGTCTATTATTAATCTGCCACGTATAACTAGAAAAAGTTTTAAATCACATTGATTGCTCAAAGAATACGACAGCTTGAATAGAAAATCTATTTTCTTATAGCCGTATTCTTATAAGAAAAATCTATCTTTGTGGAAAAGAAAATTTTTAGTACATCATTGTAAGGATAATAAAAACTTACTTATTACTGCATATTTTATATTTTATTTTCTTTTTCTTTTCAAATGTTTGAATCATATATTGTGATGTAATAAATAAGATTTTGTTTTATTAAAATAAACGTAATTTTTTATGAATAACCAAACAACGAAACACTTGGAATATCCTTGACTAGCTGGTCTAAATACTTTTGAAAAATATGAATGTTTTTTACCTTTTAATCGGTTTTGTTAGCTTGAAAAATCAAGCAAATAATTCTTCTTTCTATTTTCTTAGCTAAGTATAATTAAAATCCAAAATGTAGGTTATAATTTGTGTACAAAGTGTCACAAATATGCAAGCTTAGCGTAATTAAAATAAATAAGAAATCTAGTTTTAATACTTTATTTCAATAAAGTAGTAGTGATCTCATTTCAAGTTGTCGTATATACGTTTTTCAATTAGAAAAAAACAACACTTAGACAAACGAATTGCTCACCAAATAAGCGTAAACAACGTGTGTATAATAGAGTGGAAAATTACTGCTTTGAGAAAACGAAACACTAAATGATTTTTAGAAAGTAATTTAAACATATAATTCAGCCAACGCTTATGTCACAATGCATTGTCAGCGAGCACGGAACTTCATTAAAAATTTGATGAAAAGTTTTAAAGTCTAGTAGTAGTGATCTTTTTCAGAAAATGAAAATAGCATAAAGTAATACTCACTTTGAGCAAACCAAAGGAATATGATTTTTTAACAAAAGTTTAAATTCCATTAAAATCTATGCTTAATTAATAGTAATTCAAAATTTCAAAATTTGAAAATTATACTCGTATTCGTACTCGTACTCATACTCATACTCATACTCGTACTCATACTCATACTCATACTCATACTCATGCTCATACTCATACTCATACTCATACTCATACTCATACTCATACTCATACTCATACTCATACTCATACTCATACTCATACTCATACTCATACTCATACTCATACTCATACTCATACTCATACTCATACTCATACTCATACTCATACTCATACTCATACTCATACTCATACTCATACTCATACTCATACTCATACTCATACTCATACTCATACTCATACTCATACTCATACTCATACTCATACTCATACTCATACTCATACTCATACTCATACTCATACTCATACTCATACTCATACTCATACTCATACTCATACTCATACTCATACTCATACTCATACTCATACTCATACTCATACTCATACTCATACTCATACTCATACTCATACTCATACTCATACTCATACTCATACTCATACTCATACTCATACTCATACTCATACTCATACTCATACTCATACTCATACTCATACTCATACTCATACTCATACTCATACTCATACTCATACTCATACTCATACTCATACTCATACTCATACTCATACTCATACTCATACTCATACTCATACTCATACTCATACTCATACTCATACTCATACTCATACTCATACTCATACTCATACTCATACTCATACTCATACTCATACTCATACTCATACTCATACTCATACTCATACTCATACTCATACTCATACTCTTACTCATACTCATACTCATACTCTTACTCATACTCATACTCATACTCATACTCATACTCATACTCATACTCATACTCATACTCATACTCATACTCATACTCATACTCATACTCATACTCATACTCATACTCATACTCATACTCATACTCATACTCATACTCATACTCATACTCATACTCATACTCATACTCATACTCATACTCATACTCATACTCATACTCATACTCATACTCATACTCATACTCATACTCATACTCATACTCATACTCATACTCATACTCATACTCATACTCATACTCATACTCATACTCATACTCATACTCATACTCATACTCATACTCATACTCATACTTATACTAATAATCTTGCTCAATCGCATGGTCATGCTCAATGTTCGTGTTGTTTTTTTATGTTAGTAGTAATGGTTGTTGTGGATTGTTAGGGTTAAACGACTTAGAATAAGGATTAGGGTATAAATTGTGTTCAAAATATTAGTAAATTGACATTTAATTTGAATTAATATATGTCAGAACCCAGATATCGCCCTGTATTTGTTAATTCAAAACAACCAAGTTATGTTTATGTGCAGATATTTTGTTTCCACATATGCCAGTTCAAGGCCTTGCCGGGGCGGCTTGTTCGGTTTATAATCTAAAAATCAATCTGCTTTTAATTTCCTCACTGTCATTAATTATATTATTTATTTAGGTTAACCTTGTTTTCAAACAATGTAATTTGCGAACTAATGAAATACTTATGTTTTTAACACGTATCACAACCGGCATACACATTGACATGCCCACGCACTATACAAACACCGACACACGTGAAGATAATTAAAAAATGTTGAAAACACACAAAATACAAAATGCTGCTATCACACGAGGTCACACAATGATTTACGTTTGCCAATTTTCATATTGCATTTTGTAATTTGTATAATAGATTAGGTATTCAATTGCTTCAGGGTGGCAGGTTGTAGGGCTGGTCTAATAGCCCTACTCGACATCACCACCACCCCCTCCTTTTTTCATTCACTATCTTCTCCCTGAATAACAATCTTGGGAAGTAATTTGTAATAGAGAAAAAGTAATGTATGTCGAATGTTAAAAAAAGTAAGAACAATTATTTTAGTATTGAATGTACAATCATCTGTTATTTGTTATCCGTTTAAATGTAATTTGTATGGCTAAAAGTTTTTTGTCCCCTATGAAAACAAAGACTAATGATACATAAATAATACATTTAGAGGTAACGAATTAAATAATAAATTTATGAGACTATTTTCAGAACCAAATCTAAATAGAAATCCGAAAGCTCACATACACATACATATATATATATATATATATATATATATATATATATATATATATATATATATATATATATATATATATATATATATATATATATATGTATATATATATATATATATATATATGTATATATATATATATATATATATATATATATATATATATATATATATATATATATATATATATATATATATACGGTAGCTACAGATGTCTACAAACGCTTTGACGTATAAGAGCGTTCAATAAAACTGTATATTTGAAATTGTATGGCACTCTTTAAAACCAACGTCGTAGGCGCCATGGCTCTCACGTCGGAGAATGAGGCGCTTGTAGTTTTACCGCTGATTATAGTAGTACCACTTACCAGCTATACATGGCGCCCAACTAACATATATCAAGTGATAAGATAGCTGCTCTGGAACTAAGGGTACAAAAATGTGTATTTCCAAAAATCACCACCTCTAGGGCGACGCCCATTAGATTTGTTTCGCAGAAATTGAGTATTCTCATCAGCACCTAGAAGTTTCGTGGCGATCGCATGACCGGTGTCAAACCGCAATCGACTATACCTGTTTGGACCATAGTTGTTTTGCCCACATAGAGATGATGACAGCTAGTGGTTTATCCACATGAGAGTTCAACCACAAGTCATTTGTCTATAAAGGATTTTAATTAAATTAATTAGAGATTAAAAAAGTTGCGTAAAAATATTTTAAGTGTAAATACAAATCATCACGACCAGTCGTCTTAAGATACAGAAATCCAAAATTTCAAAACTTGAAATAAATATTTTGAAATTTTAAATAGCGTATTTAATTTGTTCTTTAACCATTTCGGAGCAATGGTTAACTTTAGAGAAAAACGTATGTACTGTTATATTAGAATTAGAATAACGTCTTTGACTATATTAATGGAATGCTTTTATATCGTTTATATGGAATGTTTACGTTTAAGTAGGTCTACATTATATACTTGTGTATATAAACTTTCCATATCATTAATATTTTTTTATGAACAGGGTAATTTTTTTTAAATTTCAGATGTATTAATTGCTTCATTAATTTAAATGATATAACTACTTTTTATTGATATTATTTCAAAACATACTTGTTGATTAACCACGCTAATATCAAAGCTCTGCTGTAGTCAAAGCACCTCTAGTCAAAGCTTTAAGGACGATGTACCTACTGTTTAAACGATAATGATATACTTTTATATATATACGAGAAAAATGGCCCGTTGAGGAAGGATACAACGGGCGCTAGGTTGATAGTGCTGTCTATTTTCTCGGTACTTTAATTTATTCAAAATATAGTCATAGGCATATCCCTAAACCATGCACCTAATCTCATTCATGACAAAAGTCGCATTTAGAGTTTCTTTCAGGCAACTCTACTTGGGAGGAGGGGGCTTCGCCCCCCTCCCCCCCCCCCCCCACACACACACACACCAAAACATGTCTACCGTCCCATTCAACGAAATATAATTATATACTTTTTCCACAGTGTCCGCCCCCTCCCAGAAAATTCTACCCCCGCCCCCGAAAATTTCAAGTACCCCACCCCTCTCCGGGGAGGAAAAAGTCTGAAAGAAACACTGGTCGCATTTGTAGATCATACAAACTAAAGGAAGAATCTGGGCGGGGCTTTGCCCCTACCGGAAGAGATGCTTGAAAAAAAAAAACGGCACGCTAAACACTTTTTAGATAAGAAAAAGTTACCCCCTCCGAGGTGGAAAAAGTCTGAAAAAAACACTGGTGTAGCGCTTAGCCACTACCCGAAGAATTGCTTTAAAGAAATTGCAAGAAAACCACTTTTTAGATTAGACACATTAATTCGGAGGCAATTTTATTTTAGAGTATCGATGAAGAAATTTCTTTTGAGTTGGGGAGGGGAGGCTCAGACGTTCTTACGCGGGGGTGGGGCTTCGCCCCTACCCGAAGAATTGTATGAAAGAAACTCTTCCCGCAAACCACATAGATTAGACAAAATTGCCTTTTTATTCAATGTTTACTCGAGAATCAATGACGTCATATTACTGTGTGCACTCTTCGGCTTGATATTATTTTCTACTCTATGCTCAATGTGACGTTTTCGTTTAACTATGCATGTTTTTAATTTGCTTGTGTTTTCTCTAGAGCGTTCTTGTCAGATACATACACAGATAGATAGATAGACAGATAGATAGATACACAGACAGCGAAACTATTATTATAGATAGGAGTATGTAAATACGTGTTTTTAAACATTCACATACTCACATACACAAGCAAACAGACTCGATTACGAAACATTTTTCCCAGTCTTATGAAGGTATAAAACACATCGATTCGTCGAAGTCTTTATTTAGATTTTTATCCGATTACAAAACTTTATCCTATAGGCTACTCTGTATACGAAATAATAAAAAAATATCAGAAACAGTAAAGTTAACCAAACAAGTGCCTTACATGGATTTTATTATCTAAACATTGCCATTAAGCTTTACTGGAACAACATTTAAACCTTGGAATATTTTATAAACTTTCATTTTTCAGGGAGAAAAAAGGAGATCTTTAAAGTAAAACGTGACCTCATCAAGACTGTGTGTGAATAAAGTGCTGGTAGTGTGGAGAGACGGATGTAGAGGAAGATGGTGTGCGTACAGCAGATGTGTCGTTGTCCAAAGGTAAAGTGAAGCTTTTGCAATACAATCGTCATAAATGTGTACCCTTGTGAATCATTCGGTTCAAACATTTATCGACATCGTACTTATTTGTCCGTAATGTAAATCTTTGACATGTGTTTAGTAATAAAATGAATATAATTATCCTCTTTGTGCCTAAGACAGATTGGGCCGTGACAGTGAGCCCCTTTTAAATTTCTCCAGCAATTCTCCTGGCAGTCCACGAAGACAAACCTGCTTCTGCCAGCTGCTTCCCGTCGTGAACCTTCTCGTTCCCCTTTTCTCTTCATGTTATGTTTTTCCTTTAGGCGTCAAGTTCAGCGCCATGCCTACAACATCATGGGGATTCATTCTTGGGACATGCACTATCCAGCGCAGATTTTTTTCCAATTATTTTGGAAAATGCTTCTACTTCCAGCTCTCCTAGTCAAAGGACTTATTTATACAAACTATTTAAAAACGCAAGGGAGCTATTGTGTGCCTGTCTCAACAATATTCAGCCTTCGGCCACAAGCTACAAAGTATCTTCGTTTATGTCAGTTTACTAAAGGTCTCCTTTACAGATACATCTTCAATTTATCATGACACGGCCCTTGGATCTCAAGTCGTTACTAAGATCCCCTTAGAGGATTTCTTTTGGTATTCGATCGTTAGACTTGCGGCAAACATGGCCTAGCTAACACAGTCTTCACTGGGTTAAGATTCACTGAGCACTAAACAAGTCAAGATGTCTTGGTTGGAGACTTGGTCTTCACAGGTGAAATCGAGGAAGCATCGCACAGCATCGCATATAAAATCTGCTTCGTTTGCGTTCCTTGTGTGCGTAAGTGGTCCAACACTTGCTAGTTTGTAACATAATGCTCATAACGTAGGCCTTCGACACCATATATTAGTGTTCATGGTCAGCTTTGTATTCTCTCATACGCACTTGCGGCGTTTGGTAGTTGCAGCTGTTGCCTTGCCTAAACTTTTTGATATATATTTGGTAAGTAAGAGCTTTCTGGCCATGGTTAAGCCCATGTAAGTAAATACTTGCACAGCTGGGGGCATGTGATTTCTGATGCGGCATTCAGGAGATAAGTATGCGGTGAAATGAATGATTGTCTTTAAGAATAAATAAAAATATATCAAAATTTAACAAAATTTAAATATATATTAAGAAAAGGGTGAGTCGAACCATGCTTTTTTTAAATAGTGGTGCGTTATTATAATATAAAAACTTGTTTTTAAAGCATATTTTAACAACTAGGTTTATCTTATTATCTATAATATATAATCTATACTCAATAGTCTATAGTAATAATGAAATAATCACATTATAATTATATATATATATATATATATATATATATATATATATATATATATATATATATATATATATATATATATATATATATATATATATATATATATATATATATATATATATATATATATATATATATATATATGGTTTCAGGTAAACTAAAATTAAACTTTATTAGACACTTGACCATATCTATATCTACATTCTATACAATCTATATATCTAAATCTTAGTATATCTCGATCTAATAAAACTAGGCTAAAACTAATTTTCTAGTTTTTGTTCGATGGACCGTGTGTTGAATGTAAAAAGCGAGTTGAGAATTGAACCGGAAGTAATCATCAATCATAACTAAACATTCTGTCACCCATCGATGCGTCAGCAAAAAAAAAATGATTTAGATCTATTTTGAAGTATATTGATCTAGAATCTATATCTATTCTACACTTATTTACACCTAAAAAAAAAAGCTAGATATTTTATCAAAAGAAAAAAAAATAATTGTTTTTTTACAAGCTCTTATTTAACTCACTTCCTGGTCAATAATCAGTCGTCAGTCTGTCGGTCTAGATCGAAACGCCCGAGTGAGATCACAGGCACTTCTACCTAACAGATACGGTTCGTAGTTGGTACGTGGGTCAAGACATGATGACAATGCAACATGACATTAAATTTGACATTGAAAATAGAATAGAATTGCATGAAAAATACACAGCGCAGTAAAAGAAAGCGAAAAATGTGTGTATAATAAAACTCTATGTAGTTAATCGTAATTAATTCCTTAGTAATATTAATTATGCATCTAGTGTAAACAAATGTAATGTCTCATTTTCATTGGATCTTGACCATCGTTCCAAGTGTGAAAATAATTGGTCCATTAGAAGTTGTCAAAATAAACCGCGAGTGATCTCCCCTAAAATTTCTTGAATATTCGTATATAACATTACGGTGGATGGCATCTCGGGATATAGACACTATTTTAAACCATTTTTAATTACTTAAACTTTTTATAATAGAATAGAATCTCGTAGAAATGCACACCATGTGAACTCCAAACAAAATTTGCATAATAGTGAGGGATATAATCAGTACTTTATAAGTTCACATGAGTTTTTTTTTTTTTTTTGAGAAATCGGAAATAGCGTAAATTACTACTTTCGTTCAACGGTAATTGCTCAGAATTTGATAAACGGCAGAGAATTATATCTTTAACTTGTATGTGAAATTTCATTTATCTATCAGAAAAAGTGCTCAAGTTTTAAGCTTTTAAAAAATTCAAAGTAGACAAAGTTCCACTTCTGGTTATTGGAAATCGCTCAAAAGTTGATACGGATCTACGATTTTGATATAATAATTATATATGAAATTTCATCAACCTAGCTGTAACGGTACTTAAGTTATCGTGTTTACAGACACACACACATACACACACATACACACACACATAGACATACGGACAAGATTGCAAAACTATGTTTTTCCGACTCAGGGAGCTGTAAAACGTCGAGTTCTGCAAAAATCTCTTTTTTAACACGATTACAAGACTTTCTCTATTGGCCTACTTGGTATATACGAGAAAGTAAAAAAGGCAGAGATGAATAATGTTAAATAAAAGCTGGTAAAAAAAATAATCGGCAGTTTCGATCCACGCTTTTCTTTTTATTTTTAAAAGATTAGTTCAGTATTATATATTTAAAGAAAATGAAATATTTCTTTTTAGAGCATAATTACATAAATGATTGTTATTAAAATATTTTTTGTTGTTGCTCTTTTTCAGTTAATGAAGTCAATGCCATTGATGGCAGTAAGAATTACCGTTTTGCTACTCCTTTCTTATGGCGGAGTTGTAGCAGAATTAATAAAACAGCCAAACATAACAGCCGGAACACCTATTGTTAAGTAAGGATTTTTTTACAAACATAAAAAGCACTTTAAAGTAAAATGTTGAAACAAATTATTTCACGTTAACATACACAAAGTTGGAATTTTATTTGGAAATCTTTCACTTTTTTACTTTCTCGAATATACGAAGTATAGAGAAAGTCTTGTAATCGTGCAAAAAAAAATCGAGATTTTTGGAAATCTCGACGTTTTACGCACATGTGCATGTACATCCACATCCACATCCACATCCACATCCACATCCACATCCACATCCACATCCACATCCACATCCACATCCACATCCACATCCACATCCACATTCACATCCACATCCACATCCACATCCACATCCGCATCCACATCCACATCCACATCCACATCCACATCTATATCTACATCTACATTTGCATCTACAACGATATATATATATATATATTACTATATATTAATATATATATATATATATATATATATATATATATATATATATATATATATATATATATATATATATATATATATATATATATCAGGGACGTAGCGAGAGGGGGGCGGGGGTGCGGACCGCACCGGGTGACACCATTTAGGGGGGTGACACCAAGGCAAAAAATAGCAAAATATATAGAGAAAAACTCGAGGGGGGGGGGTGCAAATCGAAAGTTTGAGGGGGAGGGGGTGCAAATCTAAAATTTGAAAGTTTGTCCCTGGGAAGGGTCTCTATGCCTCTGGGGGGTGACACCATTACGTGCCGCACCGGGTGACACCCAACCTCGCTACGCCACTGATAAATATATATATATATATATATATATATATATATATATATATATATGTATATGTGTGTGTGTGTGTGTGTGTGTGTGTGTGTGTGTGTGTGTGTGAGTGTGTGAGTGTGTGTTACTTCTTTTTATTCTTTTTAAGACTCCATTGTACCAGAGGGTTTTGTGGGAAACTTCAGACTTGCTGCCCTAAATTCTATTGCAGGTACTGTAGCATTGATATTGGTTTACATTGTAAAGTACTATTTTTACCACATATCTTTGTTTGAAACAACCCTTACACTTAACGATTTACAGAGCGGAACTGCTTTATGCTTCTATTACATATGGTATGCTTTAAATGAATGTTTAGACTCATAAAATAGTACTCAGCTTGTTAGAATAAATGTGTTTAGGTTAGGTTAGGTTTGCTTGTTGCCCTTCGTTGGAAATAGACCACTGACAAGAGCTTTCCAGTCATCTCTCTCCTGGGCTAGGCTCTCCAATATTCCCAAGGTGTTATCGATCTTCCTGGTGTCTTCTTCCAGGTTACGTCTCCATGTATTTCTTGGTCTGCCTCTTTGCTCTGTGGATTCAATGTGAGGGTCTGTCTTGTTATGCTGAATACAGGCTTCCTCCTGCGTATGTGGCCAATGCATTTTCAGTTTCTCTGAAGAATCTCTTCTTCAGCTGGCTGTTGATTTTTCCGTTGCCATAGTATCTCATTTCTGATAGTGTTAGTCCAGCGTATTCGAAGGATCGTTCTGAAGCATGCGGTTTTAAATGAATGTATTTTTTTTCTTATGTGTGGCAGTTATTCTCAATGTCTCAGCTCTAAAACAGGTTTTACTAGTGTGTTGATTTCCATAACCCTAAACATTTGTTAGTTGGTTGAAGCCTGCTTTAGCCTTGCCCATCCTTATTTTTATGTCTGCTTCTATCCCACTCTGCTTATCAACAATACTTCCAAGATAGGTGAATCTATTCACTTCTTCTAGAGCTTGCTAATATTATAAGGGTGCTGCTTGATGCATTGTCTTTGGGAAATTTACTTTTCTCTTTGTGGATGTTCAGGCCTTGGCATTTAGAAAAATGTTGGCTTTATCTTGCAATTGCTGTTGTTTGATGAGAAAGTAGAGCAAGATCGTCAATAAATAAAGCTCATGTTATCCAGCTGGTTCCATATTTTCCACTGTATATTGACATTTTCATAATTTCAATGTGCAGCAGGAATAGGAATGAGGAAATTAGGCAACCCTGTCTTAATCCGCTCCTTACAGGGAAAGCCTCCTTAGTCTGTTAGTCATGCACTACTCTTCATTTTAAACCTTCATTTGAGGACATAATAATTTAGACAATTTTCTGTGACACTCCATAGTGTCTCAGCAATTTCCACATTTACTGTCTATCCAGCCTCTCAAAGCGTTCTCGTAATCTATGAAATTATTGTAGAGAGATGAGTTCAACTCGCGATGGTCAATGAAGCGCAGGGTAGCAGTGAATATTCGCATGATCTTTCCTTTCTAAAACCCGAATGTTGATCTCGAAGGGGATATGCTCCGTTATTGTATTTTTCTAGTTTTTACGTTTTAAGCTCTAAAGCTTTTTGAATACTTTTACCTATTGGGAACATGAAAGTAAGTATTAAACATAAAAAAAATAATTGAAAACAATTTTGGTTGTCATGGAAATCAAAAGCTTTCTCTGCCGTTTTGAATATTTTGGTACTTTTAAAAATGCTACGGCTTTTTCTATTAATGTACTGATAGCAATCAAATGTAAACACTCATTTTTCAGTATATATTAAAACTTTTTTACGACAACTTTTTGAAATAGCTACTACTAAGAATTTTACAAGGTCTAAAAGTCGTACCCTTTTTAGTATTCAAAAGTTTCAAAATGTGCATATTATTTACCGTATAGGCCTACTTTTTTTTCTTTGAAAGCCATAACAAGTCCCTCGTTACAAACGTTGTATTTTTGCATGAAGAATAATTACTGAAAATATGGTGGTATTATTTAATTAATGAAAATGTTGTAGGCTTTATATAGTTAAAAACCTGCGAACTGTGAAAAACAGCAAAATGTATCGGAATATATGTCTCAAAAATACCACGTCTCTTTAAACTGCAAGCCGATTGTAATCTTTGGGTGTTTTCGAGATGACAGAAATTAAGATTATCAAATCATGAGAATTCCAATGAAGCCAAATACAATATGATGACGGATATAAAACTTTTAGTAGAGAGCTAGTAAGATTGGGAAAAATATTGACTAAGCTTTTAATTAATAGTGTCATAAAAATGGCATTTTAAACACATACAATATTTCTCATTGACGTTATTTTTTTCTCAATACAAAAATGAAAAAATCTCCAAAAATGCAAGAAACCCATTATGACAAATAACCAAGAATATCCCATTGCCTGGGACGGACGATAGTGTTATCCCAGTATAAGAGCATGCGCAAACATGGCCTTTCCTTGGAAGTTTTATGAGCAGTCACTTTCTCTGGTAATTGTTCATCTTCCCACATTTTCTTGAAGAGTGTGTGTACTAGTGCGGTGCTTTTTTTCGATATTTGCTATCAGTGCTTCTGCCGGTATATCATCTATTCTGGTGTCAAAAAATATTTCAGCTGGTTTATGACTTTATGTATCTCTTGTAATGAAGGTGTATTACAGTCTATAAGGAGATCACTGTCAGCTTATGGTATATCTTGCGTGCACTCTGGTGTTGGTCTATTCAGTAGTTCTTCAAAATGTTCTGCCCGTCTCTTCCTCTGTCCTTCTGCATCAGGTATTGTCTTTCCATCTTTGGTCTTCACTGGCCTCTCTGGCTAACTAAACGTCTCAGATATCTTCTTATTTGTATTGTACACGTCCCTAATATTCCCATGGTACCCTGCTTCTTCTGCTTCACTTGCCAGCAATTCAATATAATTCCGTTTTTTTTTTCCATATGGCTTTTCTTGACATTTTTGTTTGTTTCCGTATACTCTTCCAGGGCTTTTGATTTAGAAGCCCCTGCATGACTGTTGTTTAACGTTACCTTCTTTTTTTCTCTCCTCAATAATTGTCAGCGTATCTGCTGAAATCCTTTCCTTATTTTGCCTTCTAGTAGTGTATTACATTCCTCACATGTTGTCGTAAATAGGTTTTTTATTTTTTCCAATTTTCTATCAATTTTTTTCTCTTCTTCTTCTATTAGTTCTTGTAAAACCCGTTTTTTATGTGCAGATATCGCGATTTCCTTTATGGTTAAAAACAGCTTGATTGAAAAAAAAATTAAATACACATTAAAAATCTTTTTTTTTTACAGATACCTTGGAACTCAACGACCGAGGTGTTTCAGCACAATTTGAGTACTGCTTTCACTACGAAATAAAATGCAGATTTACAAAACTCAGTAATATGTGACATACTGATACATTACTGACATTTGTGAAAAAAAGACACAAACACACACAAACACACACAAACACACACACATATATATACATATATATATATATATATATATATATATATATATATATATATATATATATATATATATATATATATATATATATATATATATATATATATATATATATATATATATATATATATATATATATATATATGTTGTTATTTGTCAATAATTGAATTTCAATACAATATGCTTTAAATTTTCAAATGAGTTTAATAACTGTGTTTCATATTCGTTAATACGACAAAAGGTTTACTTTGATCGAGGGTCTTTGATCATAGGTGGTTTGACCACAGGTATTTTGTACACAGTTGGTTTGTCCCCAGCCAGAGTTTGACCACAATTGCTCTGTCCATACAGGGTAAAGATTAACTTAACAACGGATAATAAGTTGCGTAGATATATTTTAAGGTTCGGCATGATGTTCATATGGTTGTTCATCTCTGTGTATAAAATCAAAGTGGGGAATGTCCGTTTCTTTTTCTCACAATCTTGAGTTAGATCGAACACTTGCAGGTAAATAGCATGAAAACAGTTGTTGTATAAATAGGCTATTAAAAGTCAGTCTAAATGAAAAAAAATGAGAGCCATCTTGATGGTTGCGTTGAAATCTGACCTTGACTGACCGCTGCCATATATATTATATATATATATATATATATATATATATATATATATATATATATATATATATATATATATATATATATATAATTCTCTTCTTGGAGACGATAGAAAACACCAAGCTGTAAGCGCGCTTCCTACCACCCCCACCCCTACATGGTCTGGTGAACTGTGTTTCACGCTAAATGTTTACAATCGTAGAGCCGGGTTTAGTGACGGCTATTAGGGGCAGATAATGTAGTTTGAAACGATTTCAAACTTAGGGGAGGTAACTAAGAGGAGTTTGCTTTCAAGAAAGGGGGGTGGGGGTGGGGGGTGGGAGTGGGTGGGGGGGGTGGGTGTGGGGGTAGTTTTTAAGGGAAAGGAGGGGGGTATCGTCCTTAACGACCATCTGATAGTGTTTTAAAGCAAATATTTTCAGTGGCAGCATTGGTACTGTCGCATTCACAAATTATGAATTACTGAAAAGTAGAAAATAAAACAACGAAATAGCGGGTCGGCTCGTATTATATATTTTTCATAGTCTTGAATCAGATCGATCACTTGCAGATGGATTACAAACTTGATATTTGGTAAGTAGACAGCTCTGGTGACGTGGACATCGAGAAAGATACCAGATTCTCAGAAAAGTCATAAAGAGAGGTTAAAAATTGGAATTTTTTAGCGCTCAATTTTAACTATAGAATTTTAACTATTAAAAGGACGCTACTTAGTTTAGAATTTTTAAAAAATTTTAAAAATGCCCCCCTTCTTTGACTAAACACAAAAAACATTGGCGAAAAATGTAGATAAAGGAGAAATTATCTTAATATTTATATTTAGTAAAACGTAAAGTTTTCTTTTCGAATCTGACGGTTCATGGGGCAAAAGAAGTAGAGTTCACATGTTTCTGTGACCTCGGTATTTGAAGGGATAGTGTGGTCCGCACTAAGGTAAATTGCCCTCACCAACATGAGTCCATCAGGGACGTTCTACTTACTTGAACCTCGATTCGAACACGAGACAATAGGGTTAGCCCCTAATACTACTTGGTGGAATCTTGTTCTTAACCGTTTCTATTTAAAATATTGGACGAGATTCCCCCCCCCCAAAAAAAACATGTATTACGAGTCAACAAATTATGTCCATTGACTTGATTTGAGCTTTTTTTTTTCTTTTCGGATTTGCTTCCATACTCTTTGTCCATCCAAGAACAAACTACAAGACAACTGTCCTTTGACTTACTGCGCGGGTCAGCTCGTATATATATATATATATATATATATATATATATATATATATATATATATATATATATATATATATATATACTCTACGTGGGAACCATAAAAGACACCACCAATTAAGGGCTCTCTAGGCTTATCGCTACTACCCACACCACACCAGTCTGTTGACCTCTATTATGGGCCGAAAATTCAGCATTAAAACAATTTGTAACCAAGTTCTCCTTGATCTTTTTATTGTCGTCTGTAAACTGCCGTCACAGATTGGTTAGGGAGGAGTGAAGGGGGGAATTGGGGGGAGGAGTGGGGGGAAGATTGGGGAGGATTGGGGGGAGGAGTGAGGGGGGCATTGGGGGGAGGAGTGGGGGGACGATTGGGGAGGATTGGGGGGAGGAGTGAGGGGGGCATTGGGGGGAGGAGTGGGGGGACGATTGGGGAGGATTGGGGGGAGGAGTGAGGGGGGCATTGGGGGGAGGAGTGGGGGGAAGATTGGGGAGGATTGGGGGGAGGAGTGGGGGGAAGATTGGGGAGGATTGGGGGGAAGAGTGAGGGGGGCATTGGGGGGAGGAGTGGGGGGACGATTGGGGAGGATTGGGGGGAGGAGTGAGGGGGGCATTGGGGGGAGGAGTGGGGGGACGATTGGGGAGGATTGGGGGGAGGAGTGAGGGGGGCATTGGGGGGAGGAGTGGGGGGACGATTGGGGAGGATTGGGGGGAGGAGTGAGGGGGGCATTGGGGGGAGGAGTGGGGGGACGATTGGGGAGGATTGGGGGGAGGAGTGAGGGGGGCATTGGGGGGAGGAGTGGGGGGAAGATTGGGGAGGATTGGGGGGAGGAGTGGGGGGAAGATTGGGGAGGATTGGGGGGAAGAGTGAGGGGGGCATTGGGGGGAGGAGTGGGGGGGGGAAGATTGGGGAGAGTGGGGGGGAGATTGGGGAGGATTGGGGGGAGGAGTGAGGGGGGCATTGGGGGGAGGAGTGGGGGGGGGGAAGATTGGGGAGAGTGGGGGGGAGATTGGGGAGGATTGGGGGGAGGATTTGGGGGAGTATTGGGGGAGGAGTGGGGGGAAGATTGGGGAGAGTGGGGGGGAGATTGGGGAGGATTGGGGGGAGGAGTGAGGGGGGCATTGGGGGGAGGAGTGGGGGGAAGATTGGGGAGAGTGGGGGGGAGATTGGGGAGGATTGGGGGCTAGGATTTGGGGGAGTAGTGGGGGGAGGAGTGGGGGGAAGATTGGGGAGGATTGGGGGGAGGAGTGAGGGGGGCATTGGGGGAGGAGTGGGGTGAAGATTGGGGAGAGTGGGGGGGAGATTGGGGAGGATTGGGGGGAGGATTTGGGGGAGTATTGGGGGGAGGAGTGGGGGGAAGATTGGGGAGAGTGGGGGGAGATTGGGGAGGATTGGGGGAGGAGTGAGGGGGGCATTGGGGGGAGGAGTGGGGTGAAGATTGGGGAGAGTGGTGGGGGAGATTGGGGAGGATTGGGGGGAGGATTTAGGGGAGGATTGGGGGGAGGAGTGGGGGGAAGATTGGGGAGAGTGGGGGGAGATTGGGGAGGATTGGGGGGAGGATTTGGGGGAGGAGTGGGGGGAGGAGTGGGGGGAAGATTGGGGAGAGTTGGGGGGAGATTGGGGAGGATTGGGGGAGGATTTGGGGGAGTATTGGGGGGAGGAGTGGGGGGAAGATTGGGGAGAGTGGGGGGGGAGTGGGGGGAGGAGGATGGAGGGAGGCGAGGGCAGGTATGGGGGGAGTAGGAGAAGTGTGTAAGAGAGGGTAGTGTCGAATTCACAAATTATGAATTACTGAAGAGTAGCAATTAAAACAACTAAATAGCGGCGTATGCTTACGGCGCGGGTCAGCTCGTAAACTTTTAACTTCTCCAATTCTTTGGCTAAACATAAAAAAAAAGAATAAAACACTTTTGTATAAGTGTAACGTGAACGATAGCGGTAACGATAACGGTCAGACAATCTACTACACATGCCTTGAACTTTGATTAAACGTAGTTTACATGAACATAAGCCTTACAAAATCAATAATTTACAGTGTGCTTTTTGGAGGATTTTGACGCTTTACATTGGACTTCAAGAAAACACATCAGGGGATAAAAATAGTTTCAAAACAGGTATTTCTATGTGTTATTATATTTTTACACGCATTCAATCGCTATCAATCTAATGCATTTATATTATTATGAGTAAAATATGTAAAATCCTTCTCCTCGGATAAATACTTATTGATAAAATAAGGTTCATCATAGGACTGGAAAGTCATGAATGCAGGGGAGTTAACTCGCCATGTTGCTCTGACAAAAGCATATAGAGTGATGGTGTGTTGTATTCTATATTCTACCGCCTTAATTTATCAAAGTTAGAAAAATAGGGTTCAAACTCCAAAGTCAGTAAAACTAAATCTGAGAAAATAGCGTTTGAAAGTTTACTTGTTTCTCCTAAACTTTACTTTTTTTTTTAAATGTATAATCTTAATACATGCTTAAATCACAGTTATGGGGATATCTTGGGAAACAGTCTGTTAAATATACACTTTGAAATTTCCGATACAACCATATAAAAATTCAAATCCCAAATTTGATGCAGAATTACAGCATTCTATTTTAGAGTTAAAGTTTTCAATGTACAATAATAATTATAATATTTATTATGTATATATATATATATATATATATATATATATATATATATATATGGTTGTGGTTGAGGGAGTGGTAAGAGCTGGTTTATGTTATGCTTATGATAATACTTAAAGTTTCTTTGTGTGTTTGTGTTTTTATTTTAAGGTTAAATTAAGGTTTTGGGTTTATGTTTGCGTTTGAGTTTGTGCTTATGTTTTTGGTTTATGTGGTTGTTTTTTTTAAGTGTAGACGTGCGGGAAAGGGAGATGGTTTATGTATATGTTCGTGGTTGAGGTTGTGGTATGTGTTGGTTAATGTTTTGGATTTTGTTTATTTTCATTTTTGAAGATATGGGGAGGGTTAGTTTTATTTTTATTTATGTGTTTATTTGTGGAAATGTTTGTGTAAAACTGTGTTAATATTGGTGCCTATTTTTGTGGTTGTAGGGCCTATTTTATAGGACGAAGAATTTTGATTAATTAGAAGGTTTATGTCTGTGTTCGTTTATGTTTGTAGTTATGGCTTTATGCGGTTAGGGTAAGTTTTGGAGTTAGGTTTAGGGTTATGTTAGGTTTTGTTATGTTTTGGATAGGGTTAAGGTTAGATTTAGAGCTAGGGTTAAAAAGAAAATTGAGTGACATTAAAAATGCCATTTTATTAAAGATTTCATGTTGTTTATTTTGTATTTTAATTACGATAATTTTTGACTGATTTTTTTCTAAGACACTCGCACTCTGTTCTTTTCACAATTTGAGTGAGCAGTTTGTGTTATTCTACATAATCCCTATGCATTTTTTATAATAACTATGAAAAGTATACAACAATATCGTTATATCATACTTTACCTAAAACGCCAGTGATCGTTTACATTGCCTAGGCTTCCTATAGAAGGCCTGGTTTCCATTCTTTGCCGGTAACATATACATAACTGATTTTTACTCAAAAGCCAGTGCGGAGCCTGACCGGTAAGGCTACTATTATTATATCGGACTGGTTCCACTTCCATCAAGTCCAATTTTAAACGACATTTTTAAGTCCCAAAAAAAATACACCATTATTTTCATGGACAAAGCAGTTAAAAGCAAACAAAATTTAAAATGCATTTCTAATTGAAAATATAAATTTTAACTTCCATAAACTTGTACTACACAATAGTTATACATTATATAATGAAATAATAAAATTCACACATGAGACTTCTGTGTTGCAGATTACGGATATTAATTTCTTTAAGGTGAGCACTCAAATTCCATTATAATTTTGCTAGAGATTTTAATTTCTTGTCAATATATATATATATATATATATATATATATATATATATATATATATATATATATATATATATATATATATATATATATATATATATATATATATATATATATATATATATATATATATATATATATATATATATATATATATATATATATATATACTTTTACTTCAGAAAATCAATGCTGTTGATGAAATTAACATTAATGCTTTTGCTACTTCTTCTTTGTGGACTAAATACCCGAGCACAAAGGTAATATATATATATATATATATATATGGTTCCATGACAAATGATCTCAGGACAAATGATCTCAGACAAAATATCTCAGACAAAATATCTCACAGCGAAATTTTAATAGTATTTACGATGATTTTAATTGAACATTTTTTATTGATTGTTAATATGGTTTTGTTTACTTTTTTACGTATAATAATTGTGAATAAAATGAATTAGTGAAACCTAACAAACCATCAAAAGGTGTATTAAGCAATTGTAGTAGCATTTGATTTGAAAAAGTAAAAATTAAAACAAACTTACTCTTTTAGCCTGAAAGGTATAATAAATGATAATGTATAAAACAAATAAAGTAACGGTAGCTATACAACATTAATGTTCATATCACACGAAATATCTTTCAAAAATGTGAATGGGTCTGAAGGTTCGTAACGTTAAACTATTGTTTTTATTACATCATCATAACGTGTAAGTTTCTTTTCTCGTAGGTACATCGTTATGATCACACCTCTCCAATACTATGTGAGCATCTATTGTGTGAACTCTTGCTCGACATGTCCTAATGTCACATTTCCAAATCTCTTTGCCTGCTTATGGCAAACATAAATTCACCAGAAACTAATGTCCTAATACGTTCTGCTAGGTAACGAACGAGACCATAGCAAAGCAATCACCATTAATACTGCTTTGTTTGATGCACACTACGACATACTTAGCTCCGCGATGACCGCTGTCGTTTAAATAAGCATTAGTCACCTGATCACTAAGGTTTGACCGACGCATAACAATGCACTTTATATGCTAGTCGTATTGTCCATGGAGGGCGGATGTCTTTCCCTTAAGGCATGTCTCTGCCATCAAAGTGGGCGGCCACCTTGATACGATGGTGTGTCTTATTGTTATTCCATTCCCTTTTTATCTAGTTTCGTCCACCTGACGTGGTAGGATTGTCTCATGATGGCAAGCACACCTACGCTGTCTTTCGAAACTATTTCTTTAATCTTGGTATACTATATTACTAATACTAACCTTAAAATGTTTAGTGCAATATGACACAGTTATACGGCAAACATTTCTTACAATTATTTAATAGGCCTATAAACAAAATTAAACGTAGTAAACAAAACCATAAGACAGTCAATAAAAAAAAAATTCAGATCAATTAAAATCATCCAATACACTATTAAAATTTAGGTGTGAGATATTTTGTCTGAGATATTTTGTCTGAGATCAATTGTCCGTGGTATCATTTGTCTTGATATATTTTGTCCTGGTATCTTTTGTCCGTGAGATCATTTGTCCTTGAGATCATTTGTCCTGAGATCATTTGTCTTGAGATCATTTGTCCGTTAGATATTTTGTCTGAGATATTTTGTCTGAGATCATTTGTCCTGAGATCATTTGTCCTGTCACCATATATATATATATATATATATATATATATATATATATATATATATATATATATATATATATATATATATATATATATATATATATATATATATATATGTACGAGCCGACCCGGCGGTGTATCATACACCGCTATTTAGTTGTTGTTTTTTCTACTTTTCAGTAATTCATAATTTGTGAATTCGACAGTACCAATGCTGCCACTGAAAATATTTGCTTTAAAACACTAAACCCCCCCTTCCCCTCCCCCCCCACCCCATGAAAGCAGCCTCCTCTTAGTTATCTCCCCTAAGTTTACAATCGTTTCAAACTAAATTATCTGCCCCTAATAGCCGTCACCAAACCCAGCTCTACGATTGTATTATGTAAACATTTAGCGTGAATCACAGCTCACCAGACCATGTGAGGTTGAGGGGGGTGGTAGCGATAGAGAGGAAAAAAGGGTACAGCAAGGCGCTTGCAGCTTGTTTTCTAACGTCTCCCAGAAGATAATTATATATATACGAGCCGGCCCGCGGCATAACATACGCCTCTATTTAGTTGTTGTTTTTTCGACTTTTCAGTTATTCATAATTTGTGAATTCGACAGTACCAACGCTGCCACTGAAAATATTTCTTTAAAACACTATAAATAGCTCGTTAAGGACCATACCCCCCCCTTCCTTCCCCCCCTCCCCCCCCCCCCACGTTTAAATTCGTTTCAAACTAAATTATCTGCCCCTAATAGTCGTCACTAAACCCGGATCTGTTTGTAAACATTTAGAGTGAACACAGCTCCTTAAGACCATGTAGGGGTGGGGGTGGTGTGGAGCGACTTCACATCTTGTTTTCTAGCGGCTCCCAGAAGAGAATTATATATATATATATATATATATATATATATATATATATATATATATATATATATATATATATATATATATATATATATATATATATATATATATATATATATATAACATTTTACAAAAATCACATTTAGAAAACCATGTACCAGAGGGTCTTGTGGAACTCTAAGTTGTTGCAGTGGATATTATTGCAGGTAGATAACAAATCATCAGTGTTTTGCTGGTAATGGTTTAAAATGTTTCATTTTTTTTGGTAAACCATTCCCTTCCATTATGGTTATGGTAAAATGTTACGGCGAAAACAGGGGCTATTATTATAAATGTGCATTTTTTCTCTGTAGTATTTGTTGTATATTTTAAAAGAAAAAATTATCATTACAAAACCCTTACCGTTGTTCTAGTGATGAGGATAAATTTAAAAATAATACACCTCGACATAACAATGGGCTCTGGTGATTAACATGTTATGTCAAAGACACATCTTGTTATACACTGAAAAATTAACTATTCCAATGCTATTCGGCCCACTTTATTGTAATTTCCTTGAAGATTCCAATCTAATGTTTGTCTTCTGTCTATCCTGCTTGCAATAGGTTTCTAAACCACTCCCGTTTTCGCTTTTGCAAAAAGGTTTATGTTTAATGATTTTATCAATATTTCGGCGATGTTAATTTACTCTAAATAGGGGTTCGTTATGCGTATGTAGCGTTGCTCTTGCGGCTTTTAATACCTTCATCTGCTACCTCAGCATTTTTTAATTCACTTCTTAAATATGTGAAGCGACCATTTCATGCATTTTATTAAAACACATAAAACATTTTTCTCATTATAATAATTATTTTTTAATGCAAAAATGGACAAAGTATCCAAAAGTGCATGAAACCCATCATGACGCAAAACAAGAAATTTTATTATTTTTACTTTCTCGTATATACGAAGTATAGAGAAAGTATTGTAATCGTGCACAAAAATAACATGAAATTTTGACAGTTTTCACCGTTTTACTCCTTAGTCCTTCATCACACCCGGAGTATAGAGGACTTATTTTAATCAGGCAAAAATTATAAATAAAAATATATAAACATTTATGCGTTGTATGCGTTATCGAGTCGTAAAAACTGGACTTTGCAATTCTGTCCGTTGTCTGTGTGTCCTTGTGTAAACACGATAACTTGAGTACCGTTATAGCTAGGTTGATGAAATTTCATATATAAGTATTCTATCAAAATCGTAGATATGTATCAACTTTTCAGCAATTTTCGATAACCGGAAGTGGTACTTTTTCTAATTTGAATTTAAGTAAAATATTTAATTTTCTAACTTCTGTCAAATCTTGAGTAATTTTCGTTTACCGGAAGTAGTAATTTTCACTCTTTCCGATTTCTTTAAAAAACGCATGTGAATTTATAAAGTACTAATAATAATCCGCACTATTATACACGTCTTTATTCGGCTTTCGCTTGGTGCGCAATTCTTTTTTTCTATGAGATTCTATTCTATTTTAAAAGTTTTAATATTTTAAGTGGATGCTCCCATGTTTTTTGTGGTAACATTTCTAACGATTTAAGTTTTAATCCTCCGCTCTAGGATTTTGTTTAGCTTGGATTCGACATACTGGTGTCAATGCAATAGGAGCCTTATCTCATATGTTTAATCGTTGTCCACCTCAGCTTTTCAATCTTTTCATTATGTAATTGAGGACTAATATTTTTACTTAAACCACCTATGCTGTCGATAGCCTGACAGTTTTAGACTTTGTCGAACTGCTAAATGATGCTGATCCATTTCAGAGATATCTCATAACTTCGAAACTTCTGGGTCTAAACTATCTAACGACTTCTCAGTTTCGACAAAGTCTTATAAAAAGTTGGCAGGCAATTAATCAACGTTTAAAAAAAATATTGTAAGAGTGGTTATTTCGATAGTACTTCTCATGTACATCTCCCCGTCTTTACTTATTCTCCAATGTTTACTTTAATCTTTTATGATTAATGCTTGTGGAAAGGATAATTCTAGGAAGGGAATATAGCATGGTTAACCATAACAAATATACTCATGTCGACTTAGATGTTTTGTTGAAAATATATTTAGTTTTTTCGTAAAAGTAAACGCTCAGTTAAAGAACCTTTTGAGTTTAGATATTTTGACCTCTGATAAATGTATTTATTTTAAACTTATTTACAGACACGTTGGAGTTGCTCGTCCAAGATGTTATGCGCGCACCTGAGTGCTGTTTATGCTACAAATTAGCGACGCACATCTGAAAAATCTTATTTACTGGATAGTCTTATCATAAATTTATAACAACTTGTAAAACAAACAAACATCTAATTATATATATATATATATATATATATATATATATATATATATATATATACATATATATATATATATATATATATATATATATATATATATATATATATATATATATATGAATTTAATGCTTTTGTTTGAAAAGATTAAAAAATTGTCTTCAAATTTTTAAGAGTGTAATAATTTTATTGCATGATTTTTATTAAATCACATGCCTAATGGACAAAAAGCACAACAATGATATCATTGACTTTGTATATATTACCTTTTGAATATCAAAGCACTTAAAAATAAAAATAAAATATAGTATAGCAACATCTGAAAGAAAAGAAATCCTAGATCTAAAAATAATATTAAAATTATTCCAACCAGTTGTTCTTTTAATAATAATGTTGGCAATATTTTTTTTAATAAAATGTATTTACATTTTGAAAGTAATTAATCATATATCTTAATTTACGTTTATCATAAAGCTTTTATATTAATATAAGTAGAAGAAATCGTATACAAAAATTGGAATCAAACCTGATTACAATTTGATTTTTACAATACAAGAAACACCAAGATTGCATCCAAATATATTTTACACGCTAAACATAACATAATGAAAATTATTTAAATCTGATATTTTAAGGATAGACACCACGGATAGAATTTTTTTTCATTTAACACAATTCTTGGTGTTTAATAAATTCATATGTTAATAGTTGTTAACCTATAAACAAAAATAATAATTAGTAGTACTGGTTGCCATGGAGACCGCGAAAAGGTGCGAAAACTAACACCTTTTCAAACCTCTATAACTTTACTTCCATAACAAATTGTCAAAAGCTGATGAAAGATGTAGATTTTTTAAACTAGACTATTCATTGCTACGTTTATTCAATGCGATAGCTCTTACTCAATTTTTATACAAATGTGTACGTACATTTATGAACAAAAATTAGGGGGCGTTGCTACATAAATATCAATATTTCCTAAAGTGTTGTAGTAAACTTGATGTACAAACGTAGCTTTGTATATGGTATAATGTTAAATGCAAGTGGAATATTTCAGACTTGTATGACAAAGGATTCTAAAGCCATTGAGATTTGAATGTTAAATTTTTAGTAAATATTCAGAATGCACGCTGGATAGTGCGCGAAGATCCGATGAGACATAGATTACTAATGTTCATTGAACCGTAAATAGCACTGTTTCCGTATAAGGCCTAAGTGAATGCTTATCAGCTATCTTAACTAGTATTTACATTAGTTGCTAGCAAACCCTACACGGACCGAAGGACATACACTTTAACATATGTATCGTTTACCGTCCAATGTAAAGCCTGATGACCGCGTGATGTAACAAGATTATAAACTTGCAGTTGGTTAAATAGCGAGAAGGGGATGAGGGGATTGAAGGGGATGGACTTAGTACATTCTTCAAACTGATAGACAAAACCATGACGCATTGTTTCAGCTTTGTATAAAGCGTCTCAAACAGTGTTTAATAGTGTTCAAATGACAATCAACAGTACATTTCTGGGCAAAGTTTCAATTATTAAATTTAATGTTGTATAATTTTAAAACAACAAATAGAAGAGAATATGCAAATAAAGTAAACAAACGAAGACATGCGATTGTTTTGTTTATCCAGAAACAAGATGTCTTCCTAACACACGTGGTAAGTTGCAACCTATCGTGAATTATTTTGATTTACTGTACTATAATATGATTGGTCAAATGATAAAATGAATCTCTTCCCATTCATTACTTTTACACGCATGCCCTTATATGGAGTTTGACTTCAAATTTTACTTTGTAGAAAACAACGTTTATCCAACTTATTTCTAGAACATAAGAAAAGGTCACTACACCAGCGTGTACACGAGTGCTTGGCCGAAAGGTTGCTGTATACTTTACGTTGCCTGGTGGGCAATAAAACACGTAACACACTGTCGAAGATAGCCACTGTCAGCGTAATAGTGTGAAAATTTGTTAGGGTTACCATTTTCACATCGTAATAAACGAATAACCGTTGACTGTAGAGGTTGGAAACGTTCAGGTTAGATAGCTAAATGGTGTTACTATCAGAATTAGTGTTAACTCATACTAGTAGAAAAATATTAAAACTGTCGAAAACATGTGTGGTTTATAGCCTTAATACAAATGTAGGTTCTATACATTGAATAAACAAAACAGTGACATTAGATTAAAAAGTTTAATTAACAAATAGTCGAGATGATCTTTGAAAATTATTTTACCAATGCAATTTAAATTTTTAGAGTTATTTAGAAATAGAAAAAAAATAATTTATAAGTTAAAAAAAACACTTATATAATTAAACGTGATTGTCATGTATATTCTTTAGAACTAGGCATGCTGCCCAGCTTCGCTTAGGCTTTCGAAAACATTTAGAATTTGAATGCTTAATTAATTCGCCCGAGGGTCGGTCTACGACCTCAGGAGTTATGAAGAAGTTCCTACGTGGACATTTTTTTTCGATTTATATCTCATATAAACCGCCGGTCAGTCGAGGTTAGTTTTGACACCCTCATCGTAGACTTTTCGGCCAACCGGCCCCCGTGTTCTGTCGCCCCAAGGCAAGATCCTGGCAAATTTGAAGCGCCTGCGGCGCTGGGAAGTGCTGGGCACCCGACAACTTTGCTTTATATATTATAGAGATTAGCAAATTGCATAGATAAACAAAAATTTCAATAAAGTAATTAAGGCCTGAAATACTTTAGTATAGGAATGTATTATTTGAATAGATTCTAGATCTAGGTAGGGTCTACATCTGTGTAAGTCTAGTTTTCCGTAGATCTAGATCTAGAATCTCTAGATCTAGATGATCTAGAATCTCTATATCTAGATGATCTAGAATATCTAGATCTAGAATATCTAGATCTAGAATCCTAATAGAATTTTTTTTTTAAGTTTAGCCCGAGCAAAATTGTATTGTATAAATTTTATAGTGTACGTAGATCTAAATAATATTTAAATGAAATAGTTCATTTCTTTTTATTCTAAACACGGCAGATGACGTCATTATTTAATGTATAAACATTAGTGACGTCACAGTTTTATGCATTTTTTTCACAACTATAAACGCTTTTCCTGTTGCATAATTAAAACTGTTTTTCTACATTCGAATACGCCTTAATTTTTTTTTCTTCTTTAAATAAAATTGTGGTTATACATTTAAAACATCTACCATATTATTTTAAACAAAAATCCGTAGCAAGTTAGCCATATATCGCTGAAGATTATGACGTGATATCCGGTGAAAATATTTTGCGGACAGATAGAGAGAGAGAGAGAGAGAGAGAGAGAGAGAGAGAGAGAGAGAGAGAGAGAAAGAGAGAGAGAAGTGCGCACATGGGCTTTTATATATTAGGATAGATCACTTCGTTTTAAATACATCTGCCACTTGTACGTTATATTATAGAAAATCATACTCTACCACTTAGTAAATGAGTGCAGCACTACGCTACATAACGTGTGTTAATAAACATTTTCAGAGATATTGCCAAAACGAAAGTGCTATATTAACAAAGGATTGCTTAGTAATACCTTAAATATAATAACGACGTTTTGCCGAGAGCCAATAGAAATTTAGTTGCAGAGCTCAGATTTTCTTTCAGGCATCTCTTCCACAAAATATTTTTACCACCACCCCTACTCATCTGAAAATTTCAAGTGCCCCCCCCCCCCCCACCACCACCACCACCAGAGAAAACAGTCTTGAAAAAACCCTTGGAGAGCCCGACAGAGAATAGCGAATGAATTTAATCTTACGAACACTACACATCACGTTGACATAACACTCTTAACCAGCACATTATAACTAGCGAACAATCAATAAATTACAGTGTGTTTGTGCTAGGATTTCTTTACATTAAAAAGACGTCGAGGAAATTCATCACGGGGTAAACGTAATTGTAAACAGGTATTTCTATCATTTTAAACAAATATGTTTTAAGTCGACATGAATCTGAACCTATTATGTGATTATAAGTAAAATGTTTAAAATACGGACAACTACTTATTCATTAATAAAAAAAGATACCCCATCGGAACGGAAAGTCAATAAAGCAGAAGAATTAAATTGCATGTAGCGTGATGCTGTGTTTCATTCTATATTCTGCAGACTTAGTTTATCAAAAAGGAAATACTAGGGTTCCAACTCCAAATTTGGTAAAAATTAATCTGAGAAAACTGTACTTGAAAGTTTGTTTTGGCCAAGAGTTTACATTCATATCCATTTACTTAGATAAGTTATAAATAGCAGGATTTTGTGAGAAAATAAAATCGTTTAAATATATTTTTTTAAATTTCCTATCCAACTTTACATTGAAATTAAAATTTATATTTCAATGCAGGATTGCAAAATCCTGTATTAGATTTTTTTTATATTTTCATCGAAATGTAATAACCAACTTTAAAATATACATTATAGAAGTTTATAAAATGTTTGAAGTTAAGAGCTTTCTAGCTAAGATTGCTAACATTCCAGCCAGAATTTGGCTTTATATTGTTGCTAGGCATAGACTAATATCGCAAAAACAAAATTAAGAACTGGTACAGCATTTGGGATTAGTTTGACGACTTTTTTCCCCATACCAACACAGTGTACACATTTATACACAATGTATTTCACGTAATTTCCATGGTATTCTAGTATTCATGAAATTCCATGGTATTCTAGTAATGAATAATTCATGGAGACATAGCCTTATAGTTATTAATAGACACTTTTTTTACAGAACAAAATTCCAATATTGTTCTGTCGATTAGTATGAAATTTATTGTTTTAATATGAATACCGTTAGATGACATTATAATTAAGTACACATAACAGTGGACAAAACATATACTATTCTAACTTGGTGAACATACAGTTTTCAACACACACCTTAATAAACTTTAAAAAAATGTTTTCTAAACAATATACATGATAGATTAAAATAACAATATGCATAGGCCCCACTTGAGAATCGCATGCTGCAGCTTACGAATTTATAGAACTTAACGGGGAGTACTTAATTTCCATAACAGTTTAGCTAGAATTTTGTCTTATAAAGATATTGCATGTTAAATTTCAGGAAATCAATGCCTTTGAAGAGAGTACAGTTACTTATTTTCCTACTTCTTCTATGCGGACTGCATATCCAAGCACAGGCTTTTAGGTAATTAATTAAATCTAAATTAAGTAACACATTGATATATCATAAATAAAGACTACTATACAAAATAACTCATTGTCCTTTGGATAAATGTGGGTTTTAGGGGTTACTTTATAAATGTTCAGGCGAATTTGGTATTTCAAGAGACAAAAATATGTTTTCTGAGGTATGGCGTCCAGTGTTTCTTCCAGACTTTTTTCTCCGGGGGGGGGGGGGAAAGGGGCGGCACTTGAAATTTTCGGGGGGGGGGGGCGTGGTAAACTTTCTTCTTTATATATTTCTATATAAATTATATAAATTTCATTTCAGTCAGGGGGCGAGGTAAAAAAATGTCGGGTGTGCTTCGCCCCCCCCCCCGAAGAGATGCCTGGAAGAAACTCTGATGGCTTCTTTTAAAATTTATTTTTGTGACGATTTATTACAGTAGGGGGGTGAGGGGAAAGATAAAATTTGTCAAACAAGCTTGACGTCATTTATGGATGACCCCAGACACCCACAATTATCCAAGGATAACGGATATGTTGTGAATGTGTATTTTAGAGTACTGAATGGGTGTGTAGTGGCAGAGGCGTAGCGAGGGGGGGCGAGGGGTGCGGAACGCGTCTTGTGACACCATGTAGGGGGGGTGACACCAAGGCAAAAAATAACAAAATATATAGAGAACAATTTGAGAAGAGGTGCAAATCGAAAGTTTGAGGGGGGTGCAAATCGAAAGTTTGTCCCCGGGAAGAGTCGTTACAACTCGCCTCTGGGGGGTGACAGCATTAAGTGCTGTTAATTAATAAAAGACATCCACACCCTAACACCACAGGACGAAGTCTGATCTCAACTTTTTGCCCTAACAACAAAATCTTACTCTCCCACGTCACATCATTTCTTGTCTCGTTATATTCAAAATCTTTTATAAATATAAAACATTCCATTACATATTATTCTATCATACACATTCAGTACACTAAAATACCAGTCACAACACGGTAGTCTAGTACACATCTAAACGTCACACATCAGCTTACTTTTTGTCATTTAATTTAAAGCATCGATTTTTTTCTGCAATTTTTTCTCAGCTTTGACTTTAAACGAAAATAAATTAGAAACACGAGATTTCTTATTGTACACTTATAATTTGGTACGATTTAATCCACAAAATTGACATTGACTTCTTGTATTACGTACACATGTCACTTGCCTGGGTAGTTAAGAAAATCACATAGATGTTGGTGAAAATATTGTGTAATTTTTAACCCATAGTGTGAAAAATAAAATAATTGTTCTCAAATAGTATGCTTATTTCATCCAATAAATACTTTTCGAGATGGAACCTCATTTAATAAACTAGCATCAAAATAATAACAATGATTTATAAATAATCGCGTATGATGAGATTTTCCAATGTGTAGAATCTATTTGCAAAGATTAAAACAAACAAAAAATAACAATGAGTGTATGTGTTTTCAGCCCAGCACACCTCGCAGGTTCGTTAACACACATGGATAATCAAACAGCATTACCAACCAACATGTAATTACCTCCATAATCGATAACTCTCAGGAAATAACCGCGGGGATTACCTCCCGCCCAAACAATTGCTGTACGACTTTAACCCATCCCAATGAATTACCCAACGGTTATTTCTAAAAAGAGATAGGAGGAGAAGATTATAAGATATATGAATGACAACAGATATAGGCTTAAATGTATTTTAGTAGATGTGGATGTAGATTCAGACTAAGACGTTGATGTTGGTGTGAATATATGATTAGAAATAGCTATAGGTTTAGGTATAAATTAAGGTATACTGCTATCGATATATATATATATATATATATATATATATATATATATATATATATATATATATATATATATATATATATATATATATATATATTCATATATATATATATAAATATATATATATATATATATATATATATATATATATATATATATATATATATATATATATCTTTATCTGTGTGTGTGTATGTATGTGGAAAGCGATATTGATAGAAAAAGCTATAGGTGATGCTAAGGTTTAAATTTAGTACTATTAAAAATGCAATTGCACAGAAAGTAGTACGGAAAGCGATACGTTTGAGAAAAGGATAGATAACGTTTAGGATAGATCTTGAGTAAAGGATACGGATTGGGATAAGAATGAGAATAAGAATGGACATTTGTTTGAGTTTTTGAATGTAACGGTGGGTGTGGTCAAAGATGGGGTTCGAGTCGGGTTTAGGGTATTATATATATATATATATATATATATATATATATATATATATATATATATATATATATATATTTTTTCTTTATATAAACATTTAGTCGATCATTTTACATAACCCCTTAAAACCGGTTATACGCTAGTAGATTTGTATAGGTGTATATGTTTAATTTTAATTTTAAATCACTTTTAGAAGATGTACCAAGGGGTCCTGTACTATCGAAGCATGTTGCCCTAAAACCGGTTATGCGCTAGTAGATTTGTATATATGTATATGTTTAATTTTAAATCACTTTTAGAAGATGTACCAAGGGGACTTGTACTATCGATGCATGTTGCACTGGATATTATTGCAGGTAATTCCTAAAATCATATTTTTTTTCATAGGTAAAATTTTTAAATGACCAATGCGTTCCATTATAAATTATCATCGAATATCAAGGCAAAAGCTAACACTAATTATTATAAAAGTAATTTTGCTTATTGTACTGTATAATAATTGTTGTTTTATGTTAGAAGAATGAATTATTATTACAATATCCTTCCAGTTAATCTAATGTGGAGCATACTTTTAATAAAAGAACACATTCCTTTCACAATTAGCCCTTGCGATTCATGTATGTCAAAGACAATCCTTCTTGTTCTACACTGACGTATTATCTCTATTCCAATTTATTCTGACCCACATACTTTTTCTTTACTTCAAGATTCCATTCTAATGTTTATCGGTCGAAGATAGTTGTTCGTTTTTCCGCAATTATTGGCCTAACTTTACCCTCTTTTGCTTTTGCAAAAAGGTTTTTCCCCATTAGTTTTATCAATCGGTCGGTGATGGTAATTCACTCTTGATACTTTAGGAATTCTACCAAGCCTTCCTGGCTGTTTTAGACTTTGTAGAACTGTTTAATGATTCTGATCCATTTCGGAGAAATTTCATACTTTTCAAGCAACATGTCTACACTATCAAAAGTTTTTATAAATTCCTAAGCGCAGGCGACAGTAACTTTATCGACATTTTAAAAGTTATACTAATAGTGGTTATGTGGTTAGAACATCTCATGTTCTGGAGAAAAAAAATGCTCCGTCTTAATTTATCTTCTTATTTTTACAATTGGTAAGGACATTTTTCCGCAGAGAATATAGCACTTCTAACATTAAACCAAATATAGTTGTTGTTTTTTTTTCATGTCAAATTAGATAATTTGTTAAAAAATATATTGAGTTTTTCCTGAAAGCACTCAGTAAAGAAGCGTTGAGATATTTTGACTTCTGATTCATACATTTATTTTGAACTTATTTACAGACACGTTGGCATTCCTCGTCCCAGATGTTATGTACGCACCTGACTGCTGTTTATGTCTAAAGTTAAAGACGCAAATGTTATTTACTGGATAATCTAATAATGCATTTATAACATTTGTAAAACAAACAAAAATCTAACTTCATATATATATATATATATATATATATATATATATATATATATATATATATATATATATATATATATATATATATATATATATATATTGATTTCTTTTGTTTGAAACTTATTAAAAAGTATCTTAACCTTTAAAAGCTTTTATTAAATTTGTAGATTGATTTGTATTACACCAGATGACTCTACATACAAAAGAAAAAAAGACCTCTAAAACAATAGATAATAGACTACGTCTTATTTACTGGATAGTCTTATCATACATTTATAACAACTTGTAAAACAAACATATATATATATATATATATATATATATATATATATATATATATATATGTATATATATATATATATATATATATATATATATATATATATATATATATATATATATATATATATATATATATATATATATATATGAATTTAATGCTTTTGTTTGAAAAGAATTAAAATATTTCTTCAATTTTTTTAAAGTGTAATAAATGTATTGAATGATTTTTATTAAATCACATGTCTTTAAAGGACAAAAAGCACAACAATGAACTATTATTGACTTTGTATATATTACCTTTTGAATATCAAAGCACTTAAACATTAAAAAAAATAACTATAGCAACATCTGAAAGGAAAAGAAATCCTAGATCTAAAAATCATATTAACATTATTTAATAATAAATCTTTTAATAATAATTTTGGCAATATTTTTTTAATAAAATGTGTTTACATTTTGAAAGTAATTAATTATATATCTTAATATACGTTAATCATAATGCTTTTATATTAATATAAGTAGAAGAAATCGTATCCAAAAATTGGAGTCAAACTTGATTACAATTTGATTTTTACAATACAAGAAACATCAAGATTGCATCTAAATATATTTTACACGCGAAATATTACAGAATGAAAAATATTTAAATCTGATATTTTAAAGATAGACACCACGGATAGAAATTTTTTTTTCATTTAACTCATTTCTGGGTGTTTAATAAATTCATATCTTAATAGTTGTTAACCTATAGACAAAAAATAATATTTTGTAGTACTGGTTGCCTTGAAGACCACGAAAAGGTGTGAAAACTAACACCTTTTCAAACCTCTAAAACTTTGTTTCCATAAGAAATTTTCAAAAGCTGATGAAAGATGTAGATTTTCTAAACCAGACTATACATTTCTACGTTTATTCATTGTGATTGTCCTTACTCAATTTTAAAACAAATTTGTATGTACATTTATGAAAAAAATTAGGGGGTGGTACTACATTAATATCAATATTTCCTAAAGTGTTGTAGTAAACTTGATGTACAAACCTAGATTTGTATATGGTATAATGTTAAATGCACGTGGAATGTTTCAGACTTGTATGACAAAGGATTCTAAAGCCATAGAGATTTGAATGTTGAATTTTGAGTAAAAATGCAGAATGCACGCTGGATAGTGCGCGAAGATCCGATCAGCAACATGAATACCAATGTTCATTGAACTTTGAATAATACGTCCGTGTAGATAGGGTTAAGCACTGTTTCCGTATAAGGCCTAAGTGAATGCTTATCAGCTATCTCAACTAGTATTATATTAGTTGCTAGCAAACACTACACGGAGCAAAAAGCATACACATTAACACATGTGTCGTATACAGTCCGATGTAAAGTCTGATGAACGCGTTCAAGCCTACAACAGCATGGCATAACAATATTATAAACCGGCCGTTGGTTGAATGGCGAGAACGGAAAGAAGGGGGTTAAAGGGGTGTAGAGCACATTCTTCAAACTGCTAGACAAGTCAATGACGCATTGTTTCAGCTTAGTATAAAGCGTCCTAAACAGTGTTTAATAGTGTTCAAATGACAATCAATAGTACATTTCTTGGCAAAGTTTCAATTATTAAATTTAATGTATAATTTAAAAATCAAACAAATAGAAGTGTATATGCAAATAAAGTAAACAAACGAAGACAGCCGATTGTTTTGTTTATCTAGAAACAAGATGTCTTCCTAGCACACGTGGTAAGTTGCAACCTATCGTGAATTATTTTGATTTACTGTACTATAATATGATTGGTCAAACGAATAAATGAATTTCTTCCCATTCATTACTTTTACACGCATGCCCTTATATGGAGTGTGACATAAAATTTTACTTTGTAGAAAACAACGTTTACACCACTTATTTCTAGAACATAAGAAAAGGTCCCTACACCAGCGTGTACACGAGTGCTTGGCGGATAGGTTGCTGTATACTTTACGTTGCCTGGTGGGCAATAAAACACGTAACACACGGTCGAAAATAGCCGCAATCCGCGTAATAGTGTGAAAATTTGTTGGGGTTACCATTTTCACATCGCAATAAACGGATAACCGTTGACTGCAGAGGTTGGAAACGTTCAGGTTAGATAGCTAAATGGTGTTACTATCAGAATTAGTGTTAACCCATACTAGTAGAAAAAATTCAAACTGTCGAAAACATGTGTGGTGTATAACCTTAATCCAAGTGTAGGTTCTCTACATCGAATAAACAAAACAGTGACATAAGTTTCGAAAAATTGATTAACAATTAGTCGAGATGATCTTTGAAAGCTAATGTCATGCTAATTTAAGCTATTTTACAAATGCAATTTAAATGTTTAGAGTTACTTAGGAATAGTAAAAAAAAATTCTATAAGTGTAAATAAAGCTCTTATATAGTTAAACGTGATTGTCATGTATATTCTTTAGAATAGGTCACTTCGTTTTCAATACATCTGCCTCATGTACTTTATATTAAAGCAAACGAGCCGACCCGCGGCGTATCATATGCCGCTATTTAGTTGTTTTATTTTGTACTTTTCAGTAATTCATAATTTGTGAATTCGACAGTACCAATGCTGCCACTGAAAATATTTGCTTTCAAACACTATCAGTAAGTCGTTAAGGACGATAACCCCCACCCTCCTTTCCCCCCCCCCCTACCATACCCCCACCCCCCGTGAAAGCAGCCTACTCTTAGTTACCTCCCCTAAGTATAAAATCGTTTCAAGCTAAATTATCTGCCCCTAATAGCCGTCATTAAACCGGTTCTACGATTGTAAACATTTAGCGTGAACCACAGCTCACCAGACCATGTGGGGGTGGGGTGGTAGGGTTATGCATAGAGAGGAAGAGAGTGGAACGCTAGGAGCGCTTACAGCTTGGTGTTTTCTAGGGTATCCAAGAATCCTAATATATAATGGCCCATGTGCGCACCTCTCTCTCTCTCTCTATCTCTCTCTCTGTCTGTCCGCAAAATATTTTCGCCGGACATCACATCAGAAACTGCAGCGATATATGGAGAACTTTATACGGAATTTGTTGAAAATAATATGTTAGATGTTTTAAATGTATAACCACAAATTTATTCAAAGAAGAAAAATTTTAAAAAGGCGTATTTGCATGTAGAAAAACAATTTTATTTATGCAACCGGAAAAGTGTTTAAACTTGGGACAAGAACGCATTTAACAATGACGTCGCTTATTGTTTACACTAAAAAAAAGAGCACGAAACTGATGACGTCATCTTTCGAGTTTAGAATAAAATAAATGAACTATTTTATTCAAATATGATTTAGAGCTATATACGCTATAAAATGTATACAATACTATTTTCTCGGCCTAAACTTAAAAAAAAAATATTTTATCTATTTGGATTCTAGATCTAGAGATTCTAGATCTAGACTAGATCTAAATCTACGCAATAACTAGACGTAGAGGCTACGTTGCTAATATCTATTCTAGATCTAGATTTAGACTCTATCTACTGTAGAATCTATTCCAAAAATAAATTTCTATAATAAACTTTTTCAGGACTTAAATATTTTATAAAAATCTTTGTTTGTTTAGCAATGAAACTGGCTAATTTTGGGTAAAAAATTAATTTGAAAAAATAGGCATATTTGCGTAAGTTATTTTTTTTAAACACTTCTTTTATTCTCCATATTTTAAAGGTACATAATTAGCTGAGATGATAGTGTACTTGACATCATACAGGTGGTGCCGGATCGAGACACACCATGTCAAAAACTAACTTTTTGTTTTTATATGTGAATCTTCCTATTTTAGACTATAAAGAAAGGAACTACTTTGGAAATCTTTGCTTATCTATGCAATTTGCTAATCTCTATAATATATGAAGCAAAGTTGTCGGGTGCTCGACATCGGGCATTCACGGCGCCTGCGGCGCTTCAAATTTAGCAGGATCTTGCCTTGGGGCGACAGAACACGGGGGTCGGTGCCGGTTGGCCTAAGGGTCTACGATGAGGGGGTCAAAACAGACCTCGACTGACCGGCGCCTTATATGAGCTATAAATCGAAAAAAAATTGTCCACGTAGGAACCTCTTCATAACTCCCGAGATCGTAGACCGACCCTCGGGCGAATTAATTAAGCATTCAAATTCTCAATGTTTTTGAAAGCCTAAGAGAAGCTGGGCAGCATGCCTAGTATAATTATAAATATAGATAATACTCTACCACCTAGTGAATGAGTGCAGGACTACGCTGTAACAAAGTTAACAAACTGTACGCAGTATTTTAACTAGAGTTATATAAACTTCAAAATCCAACACCTTCTGCCGTGAAGTCTTTTTTTGGGTGGAGAAATGCTTTTAAAGCAAATCCTTGTGTAAGACAAATTGTTGTTAGAATTGAAATAAAGTAACCGATTCTTGCTACCATCCTAGACTATTCTTATTCTTGATGCTGACAGACAATCACATAGAATTATTTTTTTCTTAAATAGAGGAATTCAACACACTGAGATTACTAGGTGACATTGAAGCATTTAATTAAACTAATTTACATATATCACATAACGTGTGTTAATAAACATTTTAAGATATTGCCAAAACGAAAGTGCTATATTAACAAAGGATCGCTTAGTATTACCTTAAATATAATAGCAACGACATTTTGCCGAGAGCCAATAGAAATTTAGTTGCAGAGCTCAGATTTTATTCCAGGCATTTCTTCCACAAAATATGTTTACCTCCCCCCCCCCCCCCCACCCCCACTCGTCTGAAAATGTTATGATAGATCTGCTCATAGCGTAACTTAACTTGAATCTTGAAAAATTGTTTGAAGTTAAGAATTTTCTAGCTAAGATCGCTTACATTCCAGCCAGTATTTGGCTTCATATTGTTGCTAGACGTAGACTAATCAAATATCGCAACAAAAAAAAAATTAAGAACAGTTACAGCATTTGAGATTAGTTTGACGACATTTTCCCTATACCAACACAGTGTACACATTTATACACAATTTATTTGACGTAATTTTATTCCGTGGAAATTCTTGGTATTCTAGTAATGAATGGAGACATAGCCTTATAGCTATTAATAGACACTTTTTTTTACAGAAAAAAATTCCAATATTGTTCTGTCGATTAGTATGAAATTTATTGTTATAATATGAATACCGTCTGATGACATTATAATTAAGTACACATAACAGTGGACAAAACATATACTATTCTAACTTGGTGAACATACAGTTTTAAACACACACCTTAATAACTTTAAAAAAAATGTTTTCTAAACAATATGTATACATGATAGATTGAAATAACAAAATGCATACTTGAGAAGCACATGCAGCAGCTTACGAATTTATAGTACTTAACTGTGAGTACTTAATTTCCATAACAGTTTAGCTAGAATTTTTTCATATAAAGATATTGCATGTTTAATTTTAGGAAATCAATGCATTTGAAGAGAGTACAGTTACTTATTTTCCTACTTCTTCTGTGCGGACTGCATATCCAAGCACAGAGTTCTAGGTAATTAATTAAATCTAAATAAATAACACATTGATATACCATAAATAAAGACTACTATACTAATTACTCATTGTCCTTTGGATAAATGTGGGTTTTAGGGGTTACTTTATAAATGTTCAGGCTAATTTGGTATTTCAAAAGACAAAAAATATGTTTTCTGAGGTATGGCGTCTTTTAAAATTTATTTTTGTGACGATTTGTTACTGTAGGGAGGTGAGAGGAAAGATAAAATTTGTCAAACAAGCTTGACATCATTTATGGATGACCCCAGACACCCATAATTATCCAAGGACAACGGGTATGTTGTGAATGTGTATTTTAGAATACTGAATGGGTGTGAGAGTATGTGTGTAGTGGCAGAGGCGTAGCGAGGGGGGGGGGGGCGGGGCTGCGGATCGCACCTGGTGACACCATGTAGGGGGGGGGGGGGGTGACACCAAGGTAAAAAATAGCAAAATATACAGAGAAAAATGTGAGGGGGGGTGCAAATCGAAATTTTGTCCCCGGGAAGAGTCTCGTTACGCCTCTGGGGGGGGGGGTGACACCATTAAGTGCCGCACCGGGTGACAACCGACCTCGATACGCCACTGTGTAATGAAATGTTTTTAATTAATAAAAGACATCCACACCCTAACACAACAGGACGAAGTCTGATCTCAACTTTTTGCCCTAACAACAAAATCTTACTCTCCCACGTCACATCATTACTTGTCTCGTCATATTCAAAATCTTTTATAAATATAAAACATTTCAATACAAATAATGCTATCATACCCATTAAGTACACTACCATTCACAACATGGTAGTCTAGTACACATCTAAAAGTCACACATCAGCTTACTTGATTTTGTCATTTAATTAAAAGCATCGATTATTTCTGCAATTTTTTCTAAGCTTTGGCGTTAAACGAAAATAAATTAGAAACACGAGATTTCTTATTGTGCACTTATAATTTGGGAAGATTAAAGCCACAAAATTGACATTGACTGCTTGTACTACCTACACATGTCACTTGCCTGGGTAGTTAAGAAAATCACATAGATGTTGGTGAAAATATTGTGTAATTTTTAACCCATAGTGTGAAAAATAAAATAATTGTTCTCAATTAGTATGCTTATTTCATCCAATAAATACTTTTCGAGATGGAACCTCATTTAATAAACTACTATCAAATAATAACAATCATTTATAAATAATCGCGTATGATGAGATTTTCAAATGTGTAGAATCTATTTGCAAAGATTAAAACAAACAAAAAATAACAATGAGTGTATGTGTTTTCACTCCAGCACACCTAGCAGGTTCGTTAACACACATGGATAATCAAACAGCATTACCAGCCAACATGTAATTACCTCCATAATCGATAACTCTCAGGAAATAACCGCGGGGATTACCTCCCGCCCAAACAATTGCTGTACGACTTTAACCCATCCCAATGAATTACCCAACGGTTATTTCTAAAAAGAGATAGGAGGAGAAGATTATAAGATATATGAATGACAACAGATATAGGCTTAAATGTATTTTAGTAGATGTGGATGTAGATTCAGACTAAGACGTTGATGTTGGTGTGAATATATGATTAGAAATAGCTATAGGTTTAGGTATAAATTAAGGTATACTGCTATCGATATATATATATATATATATATATATATATATATATATATATATATATATATATATATATATATATATATATGTGTGTGTGTGTGTGTGTATGTGGAAAGCGATATTGATAGAAAAAGCTATAGGTAATGCTATGGTTTAAATTTAGTACTATTAAAAATGCAATTGCACAGAGAAAAAAGTACGGAAAGCGATACGTTTGAGAAAAGGATAGATAACGTTTAGGATAGATCTTGAGTAAAGGATACGGATTGGGATGGGAATGAGAATAAGAATGGACATTTGTTTGAGTTTTTGAATGTAACGGTGGGTGTGGTCAAATATGGGGTTCGAGTCGGGTTTAGGGTATTATATATATATATATATATATATATATATATATATATATATATATATATATATATATATATATATATATATATATATATATATATATATATATATATATATATATATATATATATATATATATATATATATATATATATATATATATATATATATATATATATATATATATATATATATATATATATATTTTTTTTTTTCTTTATATAAACATTTAGTTGATCCTTTTACATAAACCCTTAAAACCGGTTATACGCTAGTAGATTTGTATAGATGTATATGTTTAATTTTAAATCACTTTTAGAAGATGTACCAAGGGGTCCTGTACTATCGAAACATGTTGCCCTAAAACCGGTTATGCGCTAGTAGATTTGTATATATGTATATGTTTAATTTTAAATCACTTTTAGAAGATGTACCAAGGGGACTTGTACTATCGATGCATGTTGCACTGGATATTATTGCAGGTAATTCCTAAAATCATATTTTTTTTCATAGGTAAAATTTTTAGATGACCAATGCGTTCCATTATAAATTATCATCGAATATCAAGGCAAAAGCTAACACTAATTATTATAAAAGTAATTTTGCTTATTGTACTGTATAATAATTGTTGTTTTATGTTAGAAGAATGAATTATTATTACAAAATCTTTCCAGTTGATCTAATGTGGAGCATTCTTTTAATAAAAGAACACATTCCTTTCACAATTAGCCCTTGCGATTCATGTATGTCAAAGACAATCATTCTTGTTCTACTTTGACGTATTATCTATTCCAATTTATTCTGACCCACATACTTTTTCTTTACTTCAAGATTCCATTCTAATGTTTATCGGTCGAAGATAATTGTTCGTTTTTCCGCAATTATTGGCCTAACTTTACCCTCTTTTGCTTTTGCAAAAAGGTTTTTCCCCATTAGTTTTATCAATCGTTCGGTGATGGTAATTCACTCTTGATACTTTAGGAATTCTACCAAGCCTACCTGACTATTTTAGACTTTGTAGAACTGTTTAATGATGCTGATCCATTTCGGAGAAATCTCATACTTTTTAAGCAACATGTCTACACTATCAAAAGTTTTTATAAATTCCTAAGCGCAGGCGACAGTAACTTTATCGACATTTTAAAAGTTATACTAATAGTGGTTATGTGGTTAGAACATCTTATGTTCTGGAGAAAAAAAATGCTCCGTCTTAATTTATCTTCTTATTTTTACAATTGGTAAGGACATTTTTTCGCAGAGAATATAGCACTTCTAACATTAAACCAAATATAGTTGTTGTTTGTATTTTTTCATGTCAAATTAGATAATTTGTTGAAAATATATTGAGTTTTTCCTGAAAGCACTCAGTGAAGAAGCGTTGAGATATTTTTACCTCTGATACATACATTTATTTTAAACTTATTTACAGACACGTTGGCATTCCTCGTCCCAGATGTTATGTACGCACCTGACTGCTGTTTATGTCTAAAGTTAAAGACGCAAATGTTATTTACTGGATACTCTAATAATGCATTTATAACATTTGTAAAACAAACAAAAATCTAACTTCATATATATATATATATATATATATATATATATATATATATATATATATATATATATATATATATATATATATATATATATATATATTGATTTCTTTTGTTTGAAACTTATTAAATAGTAACTTAACCTTTAAAAGCTTTTATTAAATTTGTAGATTGATTTGTATTACACCAGATGACTCTACATACAAAAGAAAAAAGCCTCTAAAACAATAGATAATAGACTACGTCTTATTTACTGGATAGTCTTATCATACATTTATAACAACTTGTAAAACAAACATATATATATATATATATATATATATATATATATATATATATATATATATATATGAATTTAATGCTTTTGTTTGAAAAGAATTAAAATATTTCTTTAATTTTTTTAAAGTGTAATAAATTTATTGAATGATTTTTATTAAATCACATGTCTTTAAAGGACAAAAAACACAACAATGAACTATTATTGACTTTGTACATATTACCTTTAGAATATCAAAGCAAAGCACTTAAACATTTAAAAAATAACTATAGCAACATCTGAAAGGAAAAGAAATCCTAGATCTAAAAATAATATTAAAATTATTTAATAATAAATCTTTTAATAATAATTTTGGCAATATTTTTTAATAAAATGTGTTTACATTTTGAAAGTAATTAATTATATATCTTAATATACGTTAATCATAATGCTTTTACATTAATATAAGTAGAAGAAATCGTATCAAAAAATTGGAGTCAAACTTGATTACAATTTGATTTTTACAATACAAGAAACATCAAGATTGCATCTAAATATATTTTACACGCGAAATATTACATAATGAAAAATATTTAAATCTGATATTTTAAAGATAGACACCACGGATAGAATTTTTTTTTCATTTAACACAATTCTTGGTGTTTAATAAATTCATATGTTAATAGTTGATCACCTATAGACAAAAAATAATATTTTGTAGTACTGGTTGCCTTGAAGACCACGAAAAGGTGTGAAAACTAACACCTTTTCAAACCTCTAAAACTTTGTTTCCATAAGAAATTTTCAAAAGCTGATAAAAGATGTAGATTTTCTAAACCAGACTACACATTTATACGTTTATGCATTGTGATTGTTCTTACTCAATTTTAAAACAAATTTGTATGTACATTTATGAAAAAAACAAGTTAATTAAAAAAGTCTAGTGACATTTGTGCGCAATGTGATGTGTGGTTGGGGGGGGGGGGGTGGGGGGGGGGGGGGGGGTGCGTTCAAGCTAGAAAACAATCGGTTTGTAGGTGTTTATGTAATTTTAAAATTTGTGACCGAACGAGAGAATATTTTTGAAAAACTTTTCTTCGGCAATATTGTTCTAAATTATGACAGAAATCGATTGGTACATGTTTCAAGTCGCTAAGTGGTCTGGTTGCCGAGATATGGGCCAAAAACTGCTTTTTTTGGAGATTTTTTGGCTTTTTTGGGAAATCCATGAAAGAAACCCGGAATTTTTATGGCCTATGTTCATCCTCGTAACTTGCTTAACATAATTGCTTTTGGAACTAGTCATCGATATTGCTTCGTTGAGGAGGAGATACGACTTAAAGCTGCGGACACACATTCATCCATCCATCCATCCATCCATCCAGAAATGACGGGTTAATAAACGCAATTCTCCAGAATGGAAATTGCGCTAATTAGGGGGTGGTACTACATTAATATCAATATTTCCTAAAGTGTTGTAGTAAACTTGATTTACAAAATTAGATTTGTATATAGTATAATGTTAAATGCACGTGGAATGTTTCAGACTTGTATGACAAAGGGTTCGAAAGCCATAGAGATTTGAATGTTGAATTTTGAGTAAAAATGCAGAATGCACGCTGGATAGTGCGCGAAGATCCGATGAGCAACATGAATACCAATGTTCATTGAACTTTGAATAATACATCCGGGTAGATAGGGTCAATCACTGTTTCCGTATAAGGCCTAAGTGAATGCTTATCAGCTATCTCAACTAGTATTATATTAGTTGCTAGCAAACACTACACGGAGCAAAAAGCATACACATTAACTCATGTGTCGTATACAGTCCGATGCAAAGTCTGATGAACGCGTTCAAGCCTACAACAGCATGGCATAACAAGATTATAAACCGGCCGTTGGTTGAATGGCGAGAACGGAAAGAAGGGGGTTAAAGGGGTGTAGAGCACATTCTTCAAACTGCTAGACAAGTCAATGACGCATTGTTTCAGCTTAGTATAAAGCGTCCTAAACAGTGTTTAATAGTGTTCAAATGACAATCAACAGTACATTTCTTGTCAAAGTTTCAATTATTAAATTTAATGTATTTAAAAAAAAACAAATAGAAGTGTATATGCAAATAAAGTAAACAAACGAAGACAGGCGATTGTTTTGTTTATCTAGAAACAAGATGTCTTCCTAGCACACGTGGTAAGTTGCAACCTATCGTGAATTATTTTGATTTACTGTACTATAATATGATTGGTCAAACGAATAAATGAATTTCTTCCCATTCATTACTTTTACACGCATGCCCTTATATGGAGTGTGACATAAAATTTTACTTTGTAGAAAACAACGTTTACACTACTTATTTATAGAACATAAGAAAAGGTCCCTACACCAGCGTGTACACGAGTGCTTGGCGGATAGGTTGCTGTATACTTTACGTTGCCTGGTGGGCAATAAAACACGTAACACACGGTCGAAAATAGCCGCAATCCGCGTAATAGTGTGAAAATTTGTTGGGGTTACCATTTTCACATCGCAATAAACGGATAACCGTTGACTGCAGAGGTTGGAAACGTTCAGGTTAGATAGCTAAATGGTGTTACTATCAGAATTAGTGTTAACCCATACTAGTAGAAAAAATTTAAACTGTCGAAAACATGTGTGGTGTATAGCCTTAATCCAAGTGTAGGTTCTCTACATCGAATAAACAAAACAGTGACATAAGTTTCGACAAATTGATTAACAATTAGTCGAGATGATCTTTGAAAGCTAATGTCATGCTAATTTAAGCTATTTTACAAATGCAATTTAAATGTTTAGAGTTACTTAGGAATAGTAAAAAAAAATTCTATAAGTGTAAATAAAGCTCTTATATAATTAAACGTGATTGTCATGTATATTCTTTAGAATAGGTCACTTCGTTTTCAATACATCTGCCTCATGTACTTTATATTAAAGCAAACGAGCCGACCCGCGGCGTATCATATGCCGCTATTTAGTTGTTTTATTTTGTACTTTTCAGTAATTCATAATTTGTGAATTCGACAGTACCAATGCTGCCACTGAAAATATTTGCTTTCAAACACTATCAGTAAGTCGTTAAGGACGATAACCCCCACTCTCCTTTCCCCCCCCCCTACCCTACCCCCCCCCCCCCCCCCCGTGAAAGCAGCCTACTCTTCGTTACCTCCCCTAAGTATAAAATCGTTTCAAACTAAATTATCTGCCCCTAATAGCCGTCATTAAACCGGCTCTACGATTGTAAACATTTAGCGTGAACCACAGCTCACCAGACCATGTGGGGGTGAGGTGGTAGGGTTATGCATAGAGAGGAAGAGAGTGGAACGCTAGGCGCGCTTACAGCTTGGTGTTTTCTAGGGTATCCAAGAATCCTAATATATAATGGCCCATGTGCGCACCTCTCTCTCTCTCTCTATTTCTCTCTCTCTCTGTCCGCAAAATATTTTCGCTGGACATCACATCAGAAACTGCAGCGATATATGGAGAACTTTATACGGACTTTTGTTGAAAATAATATGTTAGATGTTTTAAATGTATAACCACAAATTTATTCAAAAAAGAAAAATTTAAAAAAAGGCGTATTTGCATGTAGAAAAACAATTTTATTTATGCAACCGGAAAAGTGTTTAAACTTGGGACAAGAACGCATTTAACAATGACGTCGCTTATTGTTTACACTAAAAAAAGAGCACGAAACTGATGACGTCATCTTCCGAGTTTAGAATAAAAATAAATGAACTATTTTATTCAAATATGATTTAGAGCTATGTACGCTATAAAATTATACAATACTATTTTCTCGGCCTAAACTTAAAAAAAATTATTTTATCTATTTGGATTCTAGATCTAGAGATTCTAGATCTAGACTAGATCTAAATCTACGCAATAACTAGACGTAGAGGCTACGTCGCTAATATCTATTCTAGATCTAGATTTAGACTCTATCTACTGTAGAATCTATTCCAAAAATAAATTTCTGTAATAAACTTTTTCAGGACTTAAATATTTTATAAAAATCTTTGTTTGTTTAGCAATGAAACTGGCTAATTTTGGGTAAAAAATTAATTTGAAAAAATAGGCATATTTGCGTAAGTTATTTTTTGAAACACTTCTTTTATTCTCCATATTTTAAAGGTACATAATTAGCTGAGATGATAGTGTACTTGACACCATACAGGTGGTGCCGGATCGAGACACACTAAGTCCGACCTAACTTTTTGTTTTTATATGTGAATCTTCCTATTTTAGACTATAAAGAAAGGAACTACTTTGGAAATCTTTGCTTCTCTATGCAATTTGCTAATCTCTATAATATATGAAGCAAAGTTGTCGGGTGCCCGACATCGGGCACTTCACGGCGCCTGCGGCGCTTCAAATTTGGCAGGGTCTTGCCTTGGGGCGACAGAACACGGGGGCCGGTGCCGGTTGGCCTATGGGTCTACGATGAGGGGGTCAAAACAGACCTCGACTGACCGGCGCCTTATATGAGCAATAAATCGAAAAAAAAAAATTGTCCACGTAGGAACCTCTTCATAACTCCCGAGATCGTAGACCGACCCTCGGGCGAATTAATTAAGCATTCAAATTCTCAATGTTTTTGAAAGCCTAAGAGAAGCTGGGCAGCATGCCTAGTATAATTATATATATAGATAATACTCTACCACCTAGTGAATGAGTGCAGCACTACGCTGTAACGAAGTTAACAAACTGTACGCAGTATTTTAACTAGAGTTATAAACTTCAAAATCCAACACCTTCTGCCGTGAAGTGTTTTTTTGGGTGGAGAAATGCTTGTAAAGCAAATCCTTGTGTAAGACAAATTGTTGTTAGAATTGAAATAAAGTTACCGATTCTTGCTTTCATCTTAGACTATTCTTATTCTTGATGCTGACAGACAATCACATAGAATTATTTTTTTCTTAAATAGAGGAATTCAACACACTGAGATCACTAGGTGACATTGAAGCATTTAATTAAACTAATTTACATATATCACATAACGTGTGTTAATAAACATTTTAAGAGATATTGCCAAAACGAAAGTGCTATATTAACAAAGGATCGCGTAGTAATACCTTAAATATAATAGCAACGACATTTTGCCGAGAGCCAATAGAAATTTAGTTGCAGAGCTCAGATTTTATTCCAGGCATTTCTTCCACAAAATATGTTTACCTCCCCCCCCCCCCCCCCCCCACTCGTCTGAAATTGTTATGAGAGATCTGCTCATACCGTAACTTAACTTGAATCTTGAAAAATTGTTTGAAGTTAAGAATTTTCTAGCTAAGATCGCTTACATTCCAGCCAGTATTTGGCTTCATATTGTTGCTAGACGTAGACTAATCAAATATCGCAAAAAAAAAAAAAAATTAAGAACAGTTACAGCATTTGAGATTAGTTTGACGACTTTTTCCCTATACCAACGCAGTGTACACATTTATACACAATTTATTTGACGTAATTTTATTCCATGAAAATTCTTGGTATTCTAGAAATGAATGGAGACATAGCCTTATAGTTATTAATAGACACTTTTTTTTAAAGAAAAAAATTCCAATATTGTTCTGTCGATTAGTATGAAATTTATTGTTATAATATGAATACCGTCTGATGACATTATAATTAAGTACACATAACAGTGGACAAAACATATACTATTCTAACTTGGTGAACATACAGTTTTCAACACACACCTTAATAACTTTTAAAAAAATGTTTTCTAAACAATATCTATACATGATAGATTGAAATAACAAAATGCATACTTGAGAAGCACATGCAGCAGCTTACGAATTTATAGTACTTAACTGTGAGTACTTAATTTCCATAACAGTTTAGCTAGAATTTTTTCATATAAGGATATTGCATGTTCCATTTCAGGAAATCAATGCCTTTGAAGAGAGTACAGTTACTTATTTTCCTACTTCTTCTGTGCGGACTGCATATCCAAGCACAGAGTTCTAGGTAATTAATTAAATCTAAATAAATAACACATTGATATACCATAAATAAAGACTACTATACTAAATCACTCATTGTCCTTTGGATAAATGTGGGTTTTAGGGGTTACTTTATAAATGTTCAGGCTAATTTGGTATTTCAAAAGACAAAAAATATGTTTTCTGAGGTATGGCGTCTTTTAAAATTTATTTTTGTGACGATTTGTTACTGTAGGGAGGTGAGGGGAAAGATAAAATTTGTCAAACAAGCTTGACATCATTTATGGATGACCCCAGACACCCATAATTATCCAAGGATAACGGGTATGTTGTGAATGTGTATTTTAGAGTACTGAATGGGTGTGAGAGTATGTGTGTAGTGGCAGAGGCGTAGCGAGGGGGGCGGGGGTGCGGAACGCACCGGGTGACACCATGTAGGGGGGGGGGGGGTCGACACCAAGGTAAAAAATAGCAAAATATGCAGAGAAAAATTTGAGGGGGGTGCAAATCGAAAGTTTGTCCCCGGGAAGAGTCTTGTTACGCATCTGGGGGGTGACACCATTAAGTGCCGCACCGGGTGACACCCGACCTCGCTACGCCACTGTGTAATGGAATGTTTTTAATTAATAAAAGACATCCACACCCTAACACCACAGGACGAAGTCTGATCTCAACTTTTTGCCCTAACAACAAAATCTTACTCTCCCACGTCACATCCTTCTTTGTCTCGTAATATTCAAAATCTTTTATAAATATAAAACATTCCATTACAAATAATGCTATCATACCCATTAAGTACACTACCGTTCACAACATGGTAGTCTAGTACACATCTAAACGTCACACATCAGCTTACTTGATTTTGTCATTTAATTTAAAGCATCGATTTTTTTCTGCAATTTTTTCTCAGCTTTTACTTTAAACGAAAATAAATTAGAAACACGAGATTTCTTATTGTGCACTTATAATTTGGGAAGATTAAAACCACAAAATTGACATTGACTGCTTGTATTACGTACACATGTCACTTGCCTGGGTAGTTAAGAAAATCACATAGATGTCGAAGAAAATATTGTGTAATTTTTAACCCATAGTGTGAAAAATAAAGTAATTGTTCTCAAATAGTATGCTTATTTCTTCCAATAAATACTTTTCGAGATGGAACCTCATTTAATAAACTACCATCAAAATAATAACAATGATAATAACAATAATCGCGTATGATGAGATTTCCCAATGTGTAGAATCTATTTGCAAAGATTAAAACAAACAAAAAAAAAACAATGAGTGTATGTGTTTCCACTCCAGCACACCTAGCAGGTTCGTTAACACACATGGATAATCAAACAGCATTACCAACCAACATGTTATTACTTCAATAATCGATAACTCTCAGGAAATAACCGCGGGGATTACCTCCATCCCAAACAATTGCTGTACGACTTTACCCCATCCAAATGAATTACCCAACGATCATTTCAAAAAAGATATAGAGGGAGAAGATTATAAGGTATATGAATGACAACATATATAGGCTTACATGTATTTTAGTAGATGTGGATGTAGATTCAGACTAAGACGTTGATGTTGGCGTGAATATATGACTAGAAATAGCTATAGGTTTAGGCATAAATTTAGGTATTGATATAGGCACACGTACACGTACTGCTATCGATATATATATATATATATATATATATATATATATATATATATATATATATATATATATATATAGGTAATGTCAAGGGTTAAATATAGTACGATTAAAAATGCAATTGCACAGAGAAAGAAGTACGGAAAGCGATACGTTTGAGAAAAGGATAGATAACGTTTAGGATAGATATTGAGTAAAGGATACGGATTGGGATGGGAATGAGAATAAGAATGAACATTTGTTTGAGTTTTTGAATGTAAGGGTGGGTGTGGTCAAAGATGGGGTTCGAGTCGGGTTTAAGGTATTATATATATATATATATATATATATATATATATATATATATATATATATATATATATATATATATATATATATATATATATATATATATGTATATATATATATATATATATATATATATATATATATATATATATATATATATATATATATATATATATATAATTTCTTTATATAAACATTTAGTCGATCATTTTACATAAGCAACTAAAACCGGTTATGCGCTAGTAGATTTGTATATATGTAAATGTTTAAGTTTTAAATCACTTTTTGAAGATGTACCAAGGGGTCGTGTTCTGTCCTAGCATGTTGCACTGGATATTATTGCAGGTAATACCTCCAATCATAATTTTTTTCATAGATAAATTTTTTTAGATGACCAATCCGTTCCAATATAAGGTATCATTGAATATCAAGACAAAAGCTGACACTAATTATTATAAAAGTAATTTTGCTTATAGTACTGTATAATAATTGTTGTTTTATGTTAGAAGAATGATTTATCATTACAAAATCCTTCCAGTTGATCTAATGTTGAGCATACTGTTAATAAAAGAACACATTCCCTTCACAATTAACCCTTGCGATTCATATATGTCAAAGACAATCCTTCTTGTTCTACACTGACGTATTATCTATTACAAATTATTCTGACCCACATATTTGAAGATTCCAATCTTATGTTTATCGGTCGATGATACTTACTTACTTACTTAATTCTCATCACTCCCTGTGGAGTATAGGGCAACAACAAATCTCCGCCATTCCACTCTGTCTTGGGCAAGCCACTTTAGTTCATGCCAGGTCTTGCCAGTAGCCTGCATTTCTGGTTCCATCTCTCTCATCCATGTTCCCAGTGGTCTACCTCTCGTTAGCTTTCCAGGCGGGTTCCACTTCAGCGTCATGTTGGGAAGTCTATTTTTGCTCATGCGGAGGACATGGCCCAACCATCTCCATCTCCTCATTCGAACTTCTGAAACAATATCTTTTAATCCTGTCCTTTGCCATATTTCCTTGTTCGGAACTTTGTCGTTCAACTTTAATCTGAGGATACATTGGAGGGATCTACTTTCATAGCCTCTGAGTCGGCTCTCTCCTTTCTTGTTTAGTTTTCATGACTCTGCAGCTTAGAGGACTACAGAACGTACATTAGACTTGTAGATCCTTATTTTAGTTCTCTGCTGCAGTCAGGATGATTTCCAGATCTTAGTAAGTCTGTTGAAAGCTTGTGCTGCCATTGCTATTCTGGTGGCTATTTCTTTCTCTATGCTGCCATTTGCTGATATATAGCTGCCGAGGTATTTAAAGTCTCCGACATCTTCTAACTCTGCTCCATTCGCAAAAGTCTCGAGATCATTTTTGGTTTTTATTTTCATTAGCTTGGTTTTCCCGGAGTTTATCTTTATCCGAACGCTTTAAGAAATTTGTTCTATTTTTGTGGTATTTGCTTGGATGTCTTTTTGGGCATGTGAGACTAAAGTCAAGTCATCAGCAACGTCACAGTCCTCCAGGTGGTTGGTAAGTTCCCAAACAATTCCTCTTGGCTTATCATCAGTGGCTCTTCTTATAATCCAGTCTATTACCACCAAAAAGATGACAGGTGAGATGACACAGCCTTGTCTGACTCCTGCTTTTACCTTGAACCATTCTTTTTGCTGATTTTCATGTTGCACACAGCATTGGTTGTACATGTCCTTACGCATGTTTATGACTTTTCCTGGAAAGCCGTATAGCTCTAGTATTTTCCATAATGATGGGTGGTGGATGCTATCGAATGCTTTCTCAAAATCTATGTAGTTGATGTAGAGAGACGAATTCTACTCCAGGGACTGTTCCTCTATAGTGCGCAAGACAAATATTTGGTCGTTACATGACCTGTGGCCCTGAAGCCAGCTTGTTCTTCACGAAGGATTCCATCAATTCCTTTCCACATTCTTTGTATTAAGACTCTGCAGAAGATTTTTCCTAGTACTGACAGAAGGTTAATGCAAAGTCTTATTACCAAGAATAAGTAAATGAATTGATGGAATCCTTCGTGAATAACAAGCTGGCTTCAGGTCGATGATAGTTGTTAGTTTTTCCGCAAGTATTGGCCTAACTTTACCCTATTTTACTTTTGCAAAAAGGTTTTTTCCCATTAGTTTTATCAATAGTTCGGCGATGGTAATTCACTCCCGATACTTTAGGAATGCCTACCAAGCCTACATGACTGCTTTAGACTTTGTAGAACTGTTGAGTGATGCTGATCCATTTCGGAGAAATCTCATACTTTCCAAGCAACATGTCTACACTATCAAAAAGTTTTTACAAAGTCCTAAGCACAGGCGACAGTAACTTTATCGACACTTTAAAAGTTATACTAATAGTGGTTATGTGGTTAGAACATCTCATGTTCTGGAGAAAAAAAATGCTCCGTCTTAATTTATCTTCTTATTTTTACAATTGGTAAGGACATTTTTTCGCAGAGAATATAGCAATAACAATAAAATAAATATAGTTGTTGTTTTTTTTTTCACGTCAAATTAGATAATTTGTTGAACATATATTGAGTTTTTCCTGAAAGCACTCAGTGAAGAAGCGTTGAGATATTTTGACCTCTGATTCATACATTTATTTTAAACTTATTTACAGACACGTTGGCATTCCTCGTCCCAGATGTTATGTACGCACCTGAGTGCTGTTTATGTCTAAAGTTAAAGACGCACATTTTCAAAATGTTATTTACTGGATAATCTAATAATGCATTTATAACATTTGAAAAACAAACAAAAATCAAACTTCATATATATATATATATATATATATATATATATATATATATATATATATATATATATATATATATATTGATTTATTTTGTTTAAAACTTAATAAAAAGTATCTTAACCTTTTAAAATCTTTTATTAAATTTGTAGAATGATTAATATTTATCCAGTTGACTCTACAGTCAAACAAGAGAAAAAAAAACTCTAAAACAATAGATACTCGACTACGTATTATTTACCTTGTATATTTAGAAACACAATTAATTGCATTCTAACAGTAAGCACGTTTTAATTAAAAAAGGGTGGTTATAATCATTATAGTTTTATTTTTGCATCTGGGATTTCTTTTCCATTTAGATAATTAGTAATTTATTACTTTTAGTATTGAAGGAGGCTACTTTTAAAACATTTAAGGTGAATAATACGTAGTCGATTATCTATTGTTTTAGAGTTTTTTGGCAATCATAATCAGAATTATAATAAAACATGATTGCAATTTGATTTTTACAACACAAGAAACACAAAGAAGACATTCTCGTGCATTTTACACGCTAAACATTATAGAATTTAACTTAACTGTCAACTGATTCAAATCTGATATTAAGAGAATTATAAGTTCTTCCACATGTAAAATAAACCGGGAGTGATCTCCCCTAAAAATTCTATAATTTTTTTATATAAAACAACAGGGAATGGCAACTCGGGATATAGACATGATTTTTAATCCATTTTAAATACTTAAACTTTTAAAAATAGAATAGAGTCTCGTAGAAAAAAACTATTGCACACTAAGTAAACGCCAAATAAAATGTGCATAATAGTGCGGAATATCTATTTATATATATATATATATATAATTCTCTTCTGGGAGACGCTAGAAAACAAGCTGCAAGCGCGCCTTACAGTCCCCTCTCTTTCTCTCTATCACTATCACTACCACCCCCACCCCACACCCACATGTTCTGGTGAGCTGTAGTCAAACTAAATGTTTACAAATCGTAGAGCCGGGTTCAGTGACGGCTATTAGGGGCAGATAATTTAGTTTGAAACGATTTTAAACTTACAGGAGGTAACTAAGAGGAGGCCGCTTTCACGGATGGTTGCGGGGGGGGGGGGGTGGGGTTAGGGTCGGGGTTAGGGGAAAGGGGGGGGTTAGTATTTTAAAGCAAATATTTTCAGTGGCAGCATTGGTACTGTCGAATTCACAAATTATGAATTACTGAAAAGTAGAACATAAAACAACTAAATATCGGCGTATGATACGCCGCGGGTCGTCTTGTTATTAGTATTTTATAAATTCACATGCGTTTTTGAGAAATCGGAAATAGCGTAAATTATACTTACGGTAAACAGAAATAACTAAAAATGTGTCAAAAGCTAGAGAATTAGATCTTTTACTTTCATCTGAAATTTCATTTATCTATCTGAAATAGTACTCAAGTTATAGGCTTTTGAAAAATTCAAAGTAGAAAAAGTACCACTTCCGGTTATCGGAAATTGCTCAAAAGTTGATACGGATCTACGATTTTGATATAATACTTATGTATGAAATTTCATCAACCTACCTGTAACGGTACTTAAGTTATCGTATTTACAGACACACACACACACACACACACAGAGACATACGGACAAGATTGCAAAACTATGTTTTTCCGACTCAGGGAGGTGTAAAATGCTGAGATTTGCAAAAATATAGAATTTTTTTTTGCACGATTACAAGACTTTCTCTTTACTTCGTTTTGTACGAGAGAGTAGGAAACTGACGGTGACCTAAGATTCGAGGAATTAATTTTAATTTGCATTTGGAGATCAGTTTAAAGTAGCATGACATATAAAAGAACACAATTAGTGGCGACAATGTGTTATGTACAGTAATTCTTGAAATAAAACATAATACTTACATTAAATGTGTTTATCTCTTAACGTATTTTAAACTTAACTATTGTCGAGAATTTTGTTCTCAGATTAACTATGTTGGTTAAACAGATATTCTGTATAAAAAGAACCACTAAATTTCACTAATTCTCTACTGATTATTAAACTAGTTTTATTTGATTTAACGCTTACTAGCATTACCGTAATCCTGAGACCAACATTCTTTAGGTATGTTACGATTATGCGTAATGAGAACATTTCGTTTGTTCTTTTTTTTTGTAAAGCAAATAAAGCCGGAGTGATTTCCCCTCAAATTTCTCGAATATTCTTATATAACACTACGTGGGATGGCAACTCGGGATTTAAACATGATTTTAATCCATTTTTAATTACTTAAACGGTTTAAGATAGAATAGAATCTCGTAGAAAAAAAGAATTGCGCACCAAATGAATGACAAACAATATCTGTATAACAGTGCGGAATATTAGTACTTTATAAATTCATATTATTTTTTTTAAATTTTGGAATAAAGTAAAATACTACTTCCGTTCAACGGAAGTTACTCAAAATATAATACGGCGGGGAAAATGAGATATTTTACATGCATGTGGAATTTTATTTATCTATCTGAATTAGAACTCAAGCTATTGTCCTTTGAAAAAAAAGTAGAATAAGTTCCACTTCCGTTTACCGGAATCGCTGAAAAGTTGATACAGAACTACAAATTTGATATAATATATATATATATATATATATATATATATATATATATATATATATATATATATATATATATATATATATATATATATATATATATATATAAACACTAGTTTTAATGCCCCAAAATTCCCCAAAGTTAAGAGTTTTGAACGGACACACATTTTGAAAATTCATAAAAAATTAGTTTGAAGATATACACTTAAAATTTTTAGCTGATTGCCCCAAAATATGGAAGAAGATTATGAATTGATTGTTTATTGGGCTTAAAATGTAATATTTTATGAATGGTGGAAAACCTACGAAGGGGTTAATTTTTCAAGATGGCCGCCATTGTCATAGTTACCAAGATTTTTCCACCATTTTTTTTTAGTGGAAATGCATATGCGGATGTATCTTAATAAAGCTGTGAAGAAATAACTGTTTTCTAACGAATATTAAAAAAAGTAGTTTTTTTACCGGGCCTTCCCCCTTAACACAACAAATGGTGTTAAAGGTATCGGGCCCAAAACAGTGGCGTAGCTAGGAATTTTGGGCCCCTATGCAAAAATTATTTTCGTCAGCCGTCAGGCTACAATGAAGTTAAATGAAGATATCAACTGCTGCTTAAGATTTACAGATAAGAAGGATGATTTTAAATAATATAAATATTCTTTACATTTTATATTTTATACGTCCTGATTGTGTATTTATACTATATTATTATGTAGTTTTGTAAAAAATGCTACAGTCTTACAGTTAATTTGTTTTTTAAAGTAAAAAACAGAGTACGGTCATAAGGCGGGGTCAGAGTTGCGGTTATTTGATGACAATATTTAGGCGTGACACCATCACAAACCATTTTATATTTACAGTCAAAACTAAGTTGTATCAAGCTAAAATAATAAAATATTAGTGAGACCTCACCCAAAATGCTAAATTTGGGACGATGGGATGACAATTTCGGCAAACAAGTAGGGTAGCACCCGACATTGTAACGCCACTAACCAAATACATTTTTAAAAATTGCTCATGATTTATTTAGTTCTGTGTTTTTCCTGCTTTTAATTTTGTAAAATGATTAATAAGTTCAATTGAGATCTAATTTAGCTGCGTCTGTATGTTTGATTCTTAGGATGGCTAAGCTAAAGACCCAATGGGCATATGTACAAATAATGAGATTTAAGAATGCCATCATAGACATCAAAATCTCCTTCCCTATAACAGTTGAATGTTAAAGAATGCGATCTAGGTCCACATACCATGGTAACGGACCAATTTGTAAGGGTTTTATCCAGTGATTCTTCCAAACTTTTTTCTCCGGTGGACACTTGAATTTTTCGGGGGGGGGGGGGTAGACTTACTTTGGGGGGGGGGGGGGGCGGACACTGTTGAAAGTATATATTTTCTATATAAATTACATAAATTTCATTTCGTTCGGGGGGGGGGGGCGGTAGAATGCCTGGAAGAAACTCTGGTTTTATCAACGCGTTATTAATTGTGTATTTTTAGTCATGGGACCTTGTTTTCTAAATCTGATATAGGTTTAGTTAACATGCAAACAGCAACATCGCTATTTTTTTTGGATCATCTTCCTTAATAGTAAGGTTGAATACCTTTCGGTGACCGCCTAAGCGTTAAGTTCTTCGCGGAAGTGACTGGTTACACCACCTTAGGTAGCCAGATGAAACTCTGGTTCGATGTAGTCATCAAACGTAGAGGCCCACCCTGTCCCTACAGTAGAATATTCTTGTGAATATCAACGGATTTCGGGCACTCAGGTATCCGCTGGGTAACTCGGGCGCCCAACCATTACTTCTGCTGAAGCGCTGAAAGACACCCCTTTTTCGATTTAGTAATCGACTTTAGTATTCCGACGTATCCCTCGTGTATGGCGCTCAATAAAACGAATATAGGCGCCATAATGCTTATATGGGAGCCCGGGGCGCACAGGGTTACACGACCGCCGAGGTGCCGGCTGCAATTTGACCACAGAATCAAGAAGTCAAGCTTACCCGCTGAGCCAGACACCAAACCGACAGACCCTAGGTGCAAATATAGCTGCTGGAAAACTCTGGGTGGCAAACTATGCCGCCTTACTGTCGGAGCGCCACCCTCAGAAATAAAAATGTAATGGCAGAAACCTTCCCAAAGGTCAAAGTTTCTGTCATCCACCTTTTCAGGAAAAATGCCTTGAAAAACACTTTCTTTGGAATATTCTTAACGACAACGACTTCCCAAAGTTAATTGGCGATTGGATGAAAATCAAAAACTTATAGTGTTGGTAGCGCCATATGGATTAAAGAATGATTAGATCAACAAATGAAATGTCATTAAGGTAAAGAAAAACATTGACAAAGGTTGGACTCAGCTGGTTGTGAGAACATTGTCCATGGTTAATTAATTTTTAAAAATGTTTCAGTTGTTATCATGGGTGTTTAGTTAGATGGAATTTTATTGAGGGCAGACAGCTGGGAGAGAAATGCAGGTCTGTTGGATGGGGTAGGGAATTTCCCAGTTAGTTGAGGTTTGTAGCGATGCATATAGATTTACTGATGCTGGATGCCGATCTTACAAAATATCGAAGTGCAAGTTTATTTATAGGCTAATTATCTCAATGGCTTGCACGATCATGCGGCAACGCCTGTATTGATATTAGAGATGGGCCCTGTTCGACCCCCCCCCCCCCCCCACACACACACTAAATCCCACTAAAGTAAGAAAATACTTGGGGCTTTTTTTGGAACTTTTAATTATATCTACAATAGAAAAGAAACTGAATTTTCTTTTTCTTTTTAAAATTATTTATATTTTAACATGTTAAAATTTTATGCTAACTCTACGGTAGCTTCGCTACTAGCCCAAAATTAGAACGTGTAGGAATGGGGTATTCTAGTAATGAGTAATTCATGGTGCAAATAGCGAATTCAGTCTTTCGAACATTACACATCACTTTGATATAATACTCTTAACTAGCACATTATACCTAGCGAACAATCAATAAACTACAATGTGTTTGTGCTAGGATTTCTTCGCATTAATAGACGTCGAGGAAATTCATCGGGAGCTAAAAGTGATTGAAAAAAAGGTATTTATATTATATTAAAATAATATATATTGAATCGCTAAGAATCTAAAACTTTTTTTATTATTGTAAGTAAAATGTGTAAAATGTTTTACCTCTTACAAATACTGATTAAATTATTTTTTTTTAATACCCCGTGGGACCAGATAGTTAATAGGGCATGGGAGTTAACTAGCCCTGTTCCTCTGACAAGGGGAGAATAATGGTGTTGTTCTCTATGTGTAATGCAATACACTCCGAAATTTCACATGATTTTTTTTTCTTTTAATATTTTATTAGATTATAAAAGTTAGAATTATAGGCTTCTAACTCCAACTTTGGTTAAAGTAAATATTCAAAAATTCCACTTGAAGTTTGATTTGTTTTAGCCTAAATGTTACATTAAAATCCATGTTTTAAATGTGACATCTTCATTTTATTACAAAAATTTAGTTTAAATTTTTTTGAAAACTTCCGATACAACTTTAAATTGAAATTAAAGTTGAGAACTCGATGTAGAATTACATTCTTTCTTAGATGTGTTTTTATTTTGTCGAACTTTAATAACTACAACTTCAATATATCCATTATAGAATTTTGTGCTTGAGAAGTTATGAGAGATCTGCTAAAATGGTAATTTAACTTGAATCTTAAAAAATGTTTTGCTTATGTGCAAGAAAAGTTCGTACTAGGTAATCCAGCTAACAATACACCTTGCATTTGGCTTTCAAAAGATTATTACATAATATGTATGTTTATAGATGATATATTGATATAAGAAAATGCACATTTGAGAACTCAACGCTACAGCCTACGTATATTAACCACTTTACGATAAGTACTTAAATTATGTGACTGTTAAGGCACAATATTTTCTTATAAAGATATTGCATGTTTTATTTCAGGAAATCAATGCCTTTGAAGAGAGTACAAATACTTATTCTACTACTTCTTCTTTATGGACAGCATATTCAAGCAGAGAGACATTTTAAGTATGTTTTTTTTTTAAATTGAAATTGAAATTGAAATCGAAAGTAGAAACACAAAGTAATTACAATGATAAACAATAATTAGATATTAATTTGCTATATTACTCACTATGCTATGGATATATTTGGGTTTAGGGGTCTACTTCACACATTACGTGGTCTGCCAGGTCCGATAGGCAATTTTAATATACACATGTCAAAGAGGTCATACCATAGCTTAATTGTTTTGTCCTTTAAAAGCATCAAATTCTTTCTTTAAAAGTTTCTTAGCTGGGACTTAAAATGAATAATAATTAACAAAGTTACTAAAACTAAATTCAAAATGATAATACAATAGGGCAGGGGTCGGCAACATGCGGCTCTTTTGATGTCAGTATGCGGCTCTCCAGTTCCATAATAATGATTTTAATTTTCAAAACTAAAAAAAATATTATACTGTAAAAACAAAAACAACTTTAGACAAAATAAAAACAACGAGAATGGATGGAGTAGAGCGTATATGGACAGCTGAAAGCCAGTGTTTCTTTCAGACTTTTTCTCCGGGTGGGGGGGTGGTGGCACTTGATATTCTCCGGCGGAGGCTGGGCATTTTTCTAAGGGGGGGGGGGGTCATTGGTAAAAGTATGTGTTCTTTATCGTATGGGGGGGGGGGACTCTGGCCAGCCCCACAAATGTGCTGTGGTCAACCCCGTGGCAATGTTTCCAAGCTTTTCACTACTGAAATGTACATAGTAATGTTAGTTGTTCTTTAAAATTTAGAACATTTTGTAGATTGTAACTTTTGGCTCTTCCGTCTTAAAAGGTTGCCAACCCCTGCATTAGGGTCATGAGATTTCTTTCTTTTATAACGTACCTATGCCACTTGCCAGTGTAATTAAGGAAACCACATAGATTATTGTGAAAATATTGTGTTATTTTTAAGCCATTGCGAGAAACAAAGTAATTGTTCTCAAGCTGTAAGCTTATTTCTTCCTATGATATTTTATGAGCTCGAACCTCTTAAAAGGAGAATCAAAGTAATAGCAATAAACTAAAATGAATCGCGTATTTTGAGATTTCCCAATGTATAAAATCTATATACGAAAATTAAAACCACAAAATTTACCATGATTGCGGTTTAAAAAAAAAACAGCACACTTAGCAGGTTCCCTAATGACTTACTTGACTTAATCCTCTTTGCTCCTTATGGAACATAGGGTCTCCACCATTTCCTTCCATTTCTTCCGATCCCCGGCTATTAATTTAGCCATCGCCCAAGACATCCCTGTTGGCTTCAGTTCTTCAAGAAGACTCCGCCTCCAGGTCTGTTCCCTCATGCACATGGGTAAACGACATTACCCCCTCTAAATCATTAACCCACCAGTCATTTCGAAAGACAGATAGGGGTAGGAGCATACCGAGGCGTTGCGAGCGCTGGGCGGGGGTGCGGACCGCATCAAGTGACACCATTTTGGGGGGGGGGGGGTGACACCAGGCGAAAATTGCAAAATAATTATTTAAAGTTAAATAGACTTTTCAGTACAAATCGACAATTATTACAACACGGTTAAGGTGAAACCATGACGTAAGTGTGCTAAATATAAAGAAAACAACGCTACATCCAACTGTATTATTAACAGACTATAGATAAACATCGTTACTATTAAGTATGTTGGCCGACATACAAACACACACACACACACACACACATATATATATATATATATATATATATATATATATATATATATATATATATATATATATATATATATATATGGAAAGTCATATTGATATAGATATAGGTAAATGTAAGGCTAAGGGATAAAGATAGTGATGTTAAAAATTCAATTATATAGAGAAAGAGCTATTGAAAACGATAAACTTAAAGATAGGCATTAGGTTGATCATTTTATATCCGTTTAAGTGCTTGTAGTTTTATTAGTATGTATATGTATAATTTTACTGAAATGAACTTTTAGAACATGTACCAGAGGGATGTGCGGAGTCCTCAAATGTTGCACGGGATATTATTGCAGGTAATAACACAAATACTTATGTTTATATCGTTGTTAAAATATTTAGTTAACAAGTACATTCAATTATACGTTATCGACGAATATCACTGCAAAAACTTACACTAATAATTATAAATGTATTACCATGAATTTGTCACTGTAGTAATTTGTATATGTTTTAGAAGAACGAATTAACATTATAAAACGCTTCATGCTGATATAGTGTGAAGCTTACTTTTAATAAAACCACAACGTCTAATCACAATTGGCTTTGGCGATAAACATGAAATGTCTTGAAGCTCCTTCTTCTTTTTCTACACTTACCAAATTCCAAGACTATCTTGGCCCAAGTACTTATTCTTATTTTTGAAAATTCCAGTTTATTGTTTATCTACTGTCGGTATTGTTTGTTGGTTATTGCGGAATAGTTGTCCTAACCATTCACTTTTCGATATTGCCTGATTTTTCCCCATTTGTTTTACCTATAGTTCTGCGCTTGTAATTTTCTCTAAATATGCAACACGCAGAGTCCCATTGACACTGAAATTTTAGGAATACCAAGAGTTGCTATTGTTTTTTAATATATTATAGCAAAGTTAAACTAAATCGAAACAAACTCATGTCGACTTAGATTAGTCATTGAAAATATTTTGAGTGTTTACAGAACGAAAAAAAAAAACGCTTAGGAGAAAAAAAAACGTTGAGATATTTTGACCTCTGATGAATGTATTTATTTTAAACTTATTTACAGACACGTTGGAGTTGCTCGTCCCAGATGTTTTGTTATCTCCTCCTGAGTGCTGTTTATATTACACATTAGCGACGCACATCTGAAAATTTTACTTACTGGATAAACAAACAGAAATATATATATATATATATATATATATATATATATATATATATATATATATATATATATATATATATACAAAATATATAAATATAAATAAATAAAATATGTATATAAATTAATTAATAAATTAATAAATAAATATATATATATATATAAATATATATATATATATATATATATATATATATATATATATATATATATATATATATATATATAAATAAATATATATATATATATATATATATATATATATATATATATCGAAATCAAAACTTTTAAAAATGAGTCTTAAGATTTTTAAAGAGTTGAAAACGATTGATGTAACTACACTTTGTATTAAAAAAAGATAAAAACTCGAATGCAATAGATACCACTCTACCACTGAAACATTATATTTCACACAATAAATTTGGCAACGTCCTGTCCTCCCTACTTACACTCATGTATTTTTACGTCTAAACTTATTTATCATTTTAATTCGTTTCAGCGTTTCATTTTAGTCATTTTTAAGGGGTCGTCCATAAATGACGTCACACTCGTAGGGGGGAGGAGGTACGTAATTTTGTGACGATGTGTAATGAGGGGGAGAGGGGGGGGGGGGGGGGGTCAGACCGTGCGACGTCACACTTTTGCATTATAAAAAAGCAATGTTAGGTAACTAATTTTAGACGTTATTTCGCGTTTTAGAAAACTGTTTTAATAAATTGTAATAGAAATTGGTTAAAATACTCTATTTTGACAGAGTTCAGACAAGATTTTAGAAAAATATCGATGTTTCAAAAAAAATTCAACTGAAATTTTGAGAGGGATTGTAGGTGTGACGCCATTTTTTTGGGGGGGGTCTGGCTTTTTGTGACGACGTGTGACGAAGGGGAGGGGGGAGGTAAATATCGTCAAGCAAAGCGTGACGTCATTTATGGATGACCCCTAATAAAAAATGGTCATTTAAAATAGCCAGTATCTTTAACTCAACAAAATATGTAAATAAACGTGTTTATTTATATTTTTATTTCTTAATAGCTTGAAATTTACTTTAAAATAAATATATATAAATTGTTACGTCTAAACGTAATTTCATTTCTTTCAAAGTTTCATTACAGTCAGTTTTTATCTTATAAAATTCATAACTATTATCTTTAAACAATGCTCAATAATATTACTTTTAGGTCTAGATCTAGTTTTATAAATAAGTATAGCTTGAAAATTACTATAAAATATTTTTGGTCTAAAATAATTACTTATCATTCTTATTTGATTCAGATTTTCATTTCAGTCAGTTTTTATTATTCAGTCATTTTAATTAGCTGATAAACTTAACCAGCTATCAATAAAATATGTAAAAAAAATGGTGAACATTTTTATAATAAGTAACACCTTTTTTTAAAGCAATTCATTTTGCCACGCTGTGTACAAAATCGCGCACTACATTTATTTATTTGGAAAAATACGCTACTTGCACTATGCTACTTGCACTAACATGATTAATTAAAAAAGTAAAAAGTTTCATTGGTAATCTATCGTTTTAGGTACGTAAAATCGCCCACAGCTAGTAAAGTACGAAAAAAGTTACCTCATTGATAAGGCTTTAATAGAAGTATATTGTGATATATTTTTCAAAACAAATCCTCCTCAAAATGTGAAATAATTATTAAAATTGAAGGAGTCACCTGTTTTTCACATTACTAGTCGCGAGCGATTTTACGTACCTAAAACGATAATTACCAAAAATTGAAAACGTCTAGAAAAGAAATTTGCTTAAAATGTTGGATGGTTTCCAGGAATGAATAGAATACTAAACCTTTGCATTATTTTTATGATACAATTTAATACTTCAATAACAACCATGTGTACAGATTCATCCACCGTGTCGAAAGGGATTTTAGCATTATCTGGATTGAAAAAATCCTAGTTGTAAAAATAAAATAAAAGGATTACAATCAGTAATTCTTTTACGATATTTAGGGAAGATTTTTTACAATTTTTATTTGCAAAGGTGAGTGTGGTGAGAATTGGAACAAAAATTTTTTTCCCTTTGATCTTTTTAGAATAATCCCAAATTTTCCAATCACTTAATGGACACCAGTGAGTTGACGAAAATCCTTCCATAATGGTGTTGACATGGAATAAAAATGTGCTTTTTTTTTAGATTTAGGACCGTAAAAATAATAAAAGATGAAATTTTATTAAAAAACTTAAGCCTAAAATTAATTCAGAAATTTAATATTTTTAGAATCAATGCTATACAAGTTGCAAGATCCAGAGAACATGAAAATAATTTGTTGAGCTTAAGGCTACATTTCTATTTATTTTCATCAAGCCTAAGTTATACCCGATGCTTCACTTTCGTGAGACAAACATTGATTTGCTGTAAAGGAACTCCGTGATCGATTTCTGACATCCCCACTTTATTTTTTTTTGCTTACAAAAATTTTGCAGATCAAGTTTTTGAATAACAATGCAAATTTAAACCCCATGACCTAGTTTTTCTTTTTTTAGCTTACAATGTGTACAATAAAATTTATCGCTGCCTTTCGAATAGCAGGATCCCATTGTTTATGTCGCCATTACACGTGAAAACCAAATTGTTTTTGCTTTTTTTTAATACATCCAATCTTTAGTAAAGTCAGAAAAAAACCAGACAGGCAGGTTTTATAACCATATTAATTGTAACTACGCCGTACATGATTTTTAAATTAATTTATAGACCTCTCAAATACCTTTGAGACTTTTCTCGCTGGCATCCATTATGCAATTGTTTAATTAAAGTTTGACATCGAAAATGAAGACGTTTATGACGCAAAATTTATAGTTTGTTAGATATGGGACCGGGTTGACCAGATGTGGAATAGACAACAGGAGAAGAGGACAGTCATCCAATGTATTTATTGCAATAAATCGATAGATGTTTAGTTAAATATAATTTAGGCTAAGTACTTGACTGTAAAGATGAAAATTTTCCTTTAAAACAACTAAATGAGAGATACGGATGTATGTGGTGAGATGTTGAATATTTTTTCCAATTTCTGACCAAAGCTACAAAACTATTTTGTGGCATACTTTAAAACAAGTTAATTAAAAAAGTCTAGTGACATTTGTGCGCAATTTCCTTATGTTATCTAAAAATAGCTCTGACGTATAATGTTGGGGTGCGTTCAAGCTAGAAGAACAATCGGTTTGTAGGTGTTTATGTAATTTTAAAATTTGTGACCGAACGAGAGAATATTTTTGAAAACTTTCTTCGGCAAGATTGTTCTAAATTATGACAGGAATCGATTGGTACATGTTTCAAGTCGCTAAGTGGTCTGGTTGCCGAGATATGGGCCTAAAACTGCTTTTTTTCGAGATTTTTTGGCTTTTCTGGGAAATCCATGAAAGAAACCCGGAATTTTTATGGCCTATGTTCATCCTCGTAACTTGCTTAACATAATTGCTTTTGGAACTAGTCATCGATATTGCTTCGTTGAGGAGGAGATACGACTTAAAGCTGCGGACACACATTCATCCATCCATCCATCCATCCATCCAGAAATGACGGGTTAATAAACGCAATTCTCCAGAATGGAAATTGCGCTAAAAAATAATCTAAGTTGTAATTAGCACAAAACATACAAAAATAATTAAAATAAATAATGAACTTACCCTACCAATAGAATAGTCATGGTCAAAGAAATGTTGACTCTGTCCAAAGGGTCGTGAAGACGCGTAGAAATATTTTAGGCACTTTCCTGTACTTCTAACTAACAAATTGAAGTTATTAATAACTTTCTGTCTGAAGCATCCTAGTTTATGCGGATACATTGAAATTTTGGCCGAAATTACCAAAATAATGCTTTCTCGAATTATAACTGACGATAACTTGCTTGTGCCCACAAAAGACACGCAAAAAAACAAAAATACTGGCACGCACATGCATTTTACAAGCTAAACGTTAGTAAAACTAAATCTCATTTTTAACAGATTTAAATCTGAGAATGTTTGAACACAAAAATAGTTTTAGATTCTCTATATTGACTGGGGAAAAAACAGACAGTGACCTTAAAGTCGAGGAATAAATTGTTATACGTTCTTGAAGAAAATACTTCGATTAGCAGGGCGAATAAGCAAGCAGTGCTAAAATGTTGCTGTGTACAGAGGTTATATTTTTAAAAAAAATGATACGTTTATCAGTTCCTGAATGAGTAAAATGTATTTATGTATTGCCTCGTTTAAAATGTAACTATTGTCAGAGATTTGTTTTTTTGTTTAACTGTGCTCGTTCGAAGCTTAATCAAAATAAAACCGCTAAATAGCACTAATTATAAACTAACTAGTAATATTTTTGTTTTAACGCTTACAAGTAACGGATATTTTTTTATATCTTTGTATTACCAAAATGTTTCTTCTTCTTCTTCTTCGTTCTTAATTATTAGTGTTGAAGGGGATCGAGATTTATCTGCCAGTGGATTTGAACTCGAGACTTTGTTCGAATTTATCAACCATGAGCTTTTTGCCGACTCGACCACGCCTCCAACACAATTAAGCGTTACGTGTCAACTTGTTATGCGCCATTGAGGCCATTGACTCCGATTTCAGCCTGCTTTTCTTTTTGGATCTGCTTCCATAGCCTTTGTCCAACCAAGAACAATCTACAAGGCAGCAGTTGTTTAATTTTGGAGTTGTCTCTCCTAGAAGAGTGGCTGTCCCCAGCTAACGAGCCTCATCTGCCCAAGGGTTCGAACTCGAGACTTTTCGGTTTAGCAACCATGAGCTTTACCGACTCGACCACTACCAAAATGTTTAAGTATGATAACTTAACGCGTAAAGAACATGAATGTCGTATTGTAGTAGTACTTTTTTTCGTAAAATAAAAAATAAAAAAAACATTTAAAAAAACAATATATAATCTATTCATTAAACATTGTTCATTTTATCTAATTACTTAGATGACATCTAGAAAAATAACAATATTGGGGACGGTTTATTCAGGTTTCAGAGCTAATTTGTTTGTAACTTGTAGAGACATCTA